ACTTGAGGTAGGCGTCCCCCTGTTACACCATGTAATGTGATACCTGTCTAGAGTCGACTTCCGCGCGAAGCCCTGCCCGTTTTAATCCTATGATATCGCAGATTACCTTTCTACTGCTGGTTAGTTTAATTAATAGTTCAAACGTAACTGCCTCGTGGTTGGAACTGCATGTTTGATAGTTGGACATTTCCACCATTGCCACAGCCTAAAGTCTTATCATCTTTGGAGTCATACAAACGTGTATCCAGGGCTCCCTGGAACGCAACGTAGAGGGCTGGCGTTTTGTTTAGTGTTTCTGGTTGGCTTTTCTTCGAGAAGGTGGTAGTACGATTTACCACGCTCCCCATGTCCCTATTGCCCGACGTGGGCGTGCATTAGGCAATCATATCATCATTTCAAAAAAGGAGGTATTATCACCACGGGAAGATCCTTTTAGAACGAAATTGTCGATCTCGATTTTATAGATTATCACTAATTTAGTGTCTGTAGTTCTTAAAGCGTTCTTCCTTTGAGACAGGAGCTTAACCCAGCTGTGGGACTACGTTATTTAAAATACGTTAATGTTAAAGTAGATTATGACATATGAAAATGTTCAGGGGCATTTGTAATGTGAAAACGGCTTTCAAAATCACGTGTAGCAAATACATTCGTTTTATTTACCAGATAATGTGTAATGGAACCAGTTCAGTTGTTTAAAGCTAGATCAAAAGTAATTTATTTATGAGTAGAATAAAACGAAACTCGCCTCCACGCTTATCGCAAAGTTCGTGTATATCTAGAGACTGGCAAAATCATCCCCCCCCCCCCCCCAATTGAAAACTGGTATTTCTAACTAAATGCGGTAGCGTTTTGTTTTTAATTTAATTTGTAATGACGTCCGTTTGAGTACATTGTGTTGTGTGTTTTTTTTTTTTTTTTTGTTTTTTTTTGCTTGCTGCTGGATAAAAATGTCCAGCTATAAAGCTTTCCTCGTGGTTTCGCAAAAGTTTAAAGTGTGGAGCTTTATACGTGTCTTAATTATTATTTATGTACAACAGCTGGCGAGCAGAGGTTGGGTGCGAGTCCGCCGAGCGACGCGGTTATTTATAAAGCGAGAGTTGCGTCTCGTTTTGTCTTCAGTTGCCTCTTTATTTTGTCTAAATATACGGAGTTTTGGGAACGTCGTGCCGCCTCCGCCGCGACACGAGCGTTGGCTTCCCGCCAAAAACCAGCGCCGCGTAATATTTTCTCGACCGCTTTTCTTTTGTCTTAGCCATCTTATGCTCGACTGCACGAAGTTTCCAAGCCTTCAATCACCATTCTGAACTGTCCTGATAATCTTTGCGTTGGCGATTTACATGGCACGTGTGTCCGCACGGTCTATGTCGACGCGTCTATATTTAGTGTTAAATTTATAACATTCTACGTCAGAGACGACACTGATTTGATCAAAAGGAAGGCCAGCGGACATGCCAAACTGTGACGGTCGTGAAAACATTATGTTGGCCGCATGTATGTCTGCACCTTGATAGTCTATGGCATGTCTATTATTCTGCTAACACTTACATGCGAGTGACATTTAGAATACGGTTCAATAACTCACGGATTATCAGAATCGGGGCTCTAATTCTATTCTCGACATAATCTCGCATGAGTTACGAGTTGTACATTGTTCATATTTATAAAAGTAGGTAACAAGTACGCGTAAATAGTTTCCGCGTTTAATGTGTTCTTTCGGTGGTCCGACACGTTTACGAAAATTCGGAAGTCATAAACGCCATTTGATGATTGCAATAAAGCTTCGTTCATAGCATTTGTGTATTGGTGTATGTTATATCGATTGTGCTGATGTTCAGCGCCCTGCACGTTCCGTTCGCGTCTAAAACCGTATTTCCGTAGAATCCTTACAAGCGTCGTTAAGCTCTCACCGTCGGCTCAGCGGTTCGTCGACCCGAAGACCAGATCGGGCTGAAACCGCGCAAAAAACACTAAAAATAATCCATTATTTACTTTCAGGACTTATGTGTTTTCAGGGAATTGTGACTAATGCGTACGTCATTCTGTGAGTTTTGATGGTTGAAATGTGGTGGCATCGATTATAGCAAACTGGGTCATATACTGAGATGGTATCTAGGCCATGCTCTGAGGGTGTAATGAGGAGACACCAAGTCAATCAGATAAGAGCTTACGGTGGACAGTGGCTCGGCCTCGGCCGCCAAATGTCGCGCCATCGATCGGCTTGTGGTGGTTCATGACGCGTGTGTTGAACACGCGATCAACCCTTTGATTTTTCATCAGTTATGTGCTACCACGAACATTGTCCGACCAAGTTATCTTCTATTGTGTTTATAATTCAAACTTAAATATTCTAAAGTAAAAATCGATTATTTAAATAATAAATAAAAAAACGACACGGGCGGCACTTAAACCGGCATCTATAGCGTTCAGTGCTGTTGCTCTAACTTGAGCTATCGTGTCATTAAATATTCTATGCAAAGTTTAAAAATTATGGCTTACGGCAGCTTTCCTATCTGTGGTGTGATTAGCTGAATTAAATTATGATACTGTCTATAGTTTACGCGAGTAGTACACGTTTAAATAAAACACTTTAACGGTTTAAAACGCGATATATTAGTTAAACTTATTTGAAAATGATTTTTAACTTCGGCCCGACGTTTCGGATGCTTTGCAGCAGCCGTGGTCTCCCCGTGAAGTGTAACTAATATATCGCGTTTTAAACCGTTAAAGTGTTTTATTTAAATTAAATTATGGTTTCTCTGAAACATGGGACTTCTTCTGAAAATGTGGATATTAAATGGGCGGTAGGAATATCGAGATTTCATCCAGGCTGATTCGGAATCACCGTCCGCAGATGAAGAGTTTAATCACGTTTCGGTTTCCGAATATCCAAAGCCCAAATAAGTCGTCGGCGCATCTTGTTGATTTGTTATATGGGTGAGGTATTTTCACCTTTTATCACGTGAATCTTGTCTTTCCTTCTCTATGGCATTAAAGATAATCAATTATTATGGAACCGTCGTATTATTAACGCAAGTTATTCGTAGCTCAATGATTAGAGGTGTTGCAATATGTAAAGTGCGAGAGGGTCAGTATTCAATTTCCGGATAATAGTAATAAATTTTCATTGGGCAGATCACAGAAGTCTGACTCAACTATTTGCTTACGATAAAATTTAACAATCAAACAGACAGATGTGACCTTGCAAGGAACTTAATTTCACTTTTTTTACAGATACACTTTTGTATGTCTGGTCTTGGTCTAATCTATTAATCATTCAATAATTACTGAGGTACTTCATCTTAATATTAAGATCATATTATCTTACCACCCCAATAGCGCAATAGTTAAACGTGACGCGTTAAATAAACTCGAAAAGTGGAACCGAAAAAAAATATATTAGCCCCATGCCCCACATGGGTAAACCAGATTTCACTTAATTCGTTAAATTCATCAGAATGCTAAAATAGCTGACTTTTAGTAATTTCCATCGGTATTTTTATAATTTGAGTTTGGTCAGAAAATTACCCTGATTTTGGAAAGCGTTTATCTCGTGGAAATCGGAAGCCAAACAATAATTCACCACATATTATTAAATGAGCGTTGCGATTGATGAAAATGATTGTTCACGTTCATAGAAGGTCGTGATTACCACACCAGGCGAAGCGAGACTCCATCCGGCAACACCGGATGTATTCGTTGGTGAAATTTCACCACACGTCAAAGAGCCCAGCTGGACACCAGTCACGCTTCTATGAGCACTGGACGGCAATCAGCATTGCCCAAATGCCCATTTAAAATTTAGTCGTAAAGCATCGTGAGGGCTAAAATGTAAAGTAACTCATCTCTTCACAAAAGGAATGGAGATTTATTTCTTTTTTATATTTTGGACATTTTTACTATATAGACCATTTTTGTCCAGTCATATACTATCGCGACATTATTTTAGATAATTTAAAGATCATTCTTTTATACATTTTTTTTTGGTATCTTGAACCCCTCAAACGCTACGGCATCCCTCAAAGATGAATAGTCTTACCAGTTTTCCATGGCTTTGCTCCTATTGGTCGCAGCCTTATGATTTATAGCCTAAAAGCATTACTCACTCCCTTCGAACCAGTAGTTCCTGAGATAAGCACGTAACAAACTCTTCGGCTTTATAATATTAGTACCTATAGACGCGATAATTGTGATGCCTATAAAACGAATAATGATAGCGGGACAACGCGGCTGCCGATCCATTTATAGCCGGCGTTTGTCAAGAGCCATCTCGCCCGGGCGGGCGGCGAGCTACCAAAATAGACTTAGCCTCGCGTGCTTAACAATGCAATAAAAAGAAATTAACATCTAAAACGTCGCCTGCGCTAAGTTGACTCTTGTGTCATTTGGATGAGTTCCAAGCTCGCGATATATAACCGAAGTCTTCTCTAGTCGCTTCCGTTAAAGTGGAATGGAAATAGAATCTTCGGAGCGACTGCCTACGTTGCCTACTTACGTTGACAGATTATATTTTTCCGTTGGATTTTGTCGTTCCCATTGCATCAACTCCGTATTTAAAAATAGAACAGTTAGGTACATTACAGTAATTTAAAACGTGCAAGTTATAATATACATAATTTACACGAATATATAAAAAAGATTTATACTTTCAACATCTTTTCGAGAATATGCACGATAAGGGACTTTATTACGTTATGTTGTAGGACTATAATGTTGTCAAATTGAAATAATAATCTCAACGACATAATAAAACAATTTATGTTAAATGTGCAAACAAAAAAATACAGAGCGATAGATGTACGCAACATAAAAAAGGTCCTTAAAAAGTTATATATGTTGAATATTTGAATTTTCTTCATAAATTAACTTAAAAACATGTTGGGAGAATGTGTGTAAAAGTTTATAATATATATGTTTATTTAACAACCGTGCAAATCCAGGATAAACTGCTAGTATTTAAATAAACATAGGCCGTGCTCACGTTTGTCTTCTTTTTTTTTCAGGATTCGGTTTAGCAGCAGCTGCAGCGGCCGGCGTCCGCGCAGGTTATCCGACGGTTTTACCAGCACATTACGGGTGAGTGAGAATTCCAATGTAAGCCTATATGCATTAATGTAAAGCCTCCATGTTCAATGGTTCAACACTCCGTTTTTGCCAGCACAAGCGGCACTGCATTGCCGCCCAGTTAACATCTCACGAGACAAAAATCAGACGATGTTTCCTTATTTTTACAATAATATAGGTAAAAGTGAGACTATTGATCTAGACGTCTGCGAATAGCTCAGTAGCTCGAGTATATTAGGTGTAATACAGTCAGGCTACTTTGTAGGTGAGTAAAATGAGCGAAATGGTCGAGGATCGATTAGCTGAGCTGACTTTTGTCTCGGTAGATGAGGCGAGCGACCACTCCGGACGGAAATCGGCGCCGGCGCAGCGCCAAGCGGACCCCATCTAATCTAAATAATCATTTTCACATAGGTATCTATGGCAAGAGTGAGCGTGAGAGTGGATTTTTCGTTTTGGGTGTGAATTAGTCGATTGGGTTTTTTTAATGTTTACGTTTTAAGCTATACCGTAGCGTGGGCGGCGCCGGCGCTGCGGGCCGCGGGCGCCGCCCAACGCCATCACCTTTCGCATCGTTCTCGACACTTACTTTTATGTTTTATGCCGTGTTCGTGTAATTTTTGATTTGACTTGAGTTTTGTTGGTGGTGGATTTCGTTAATACACTTACAAATTTTCGTAACCGAATTTCCCTGGTGTCCTGTGACGCGCTGTTCTGTTGCAATACAATTATGAGCAGAAATAACACCTACGATTCGTCCTGTACCAAAAATTTAGATTTTCATATCAAAAGCGGGTCACGAGTTATGAGTCTGTTTAAGTTACCCAATTTGACTGTTGAAAAAAATGAATGGCCTCAAAAAAGGGATTTTCTGTTACGCTTAACTATGGTCGAATAGAAGACTTAGGACGTGCAATTGTACGACACTTAGAACGCCGCCGTGCTGTAGTCTTAAAGAACGTTAACACAGTCTAATCTCGTTTTTATAGTCACCACCACCCGTGAATACTGAAAGAGATTTAAAAGCAAATTGGATCAATAGGATTAAAACCAATGCCGTTTGCGATAGATAACGCGGAAAAGTAGGCTAATCACGTCGACTTTCAGTCATAGCAATTATTTCAGTTTTAAAATTGTAATCTAGACATGCATGCTGAATTATGTATTTTACGTTTCCATACACATTGAAAGCAATAAACCGTCTATAGTTTGCGCGAGTAGTACACATTTAAATAAAACACTTTAACGGTTTAAAACGCGATATATTAGTTAAACTTAATTGAAAATGATTAGTCGTGGTCACGGGGAGACACCCCGTGACCACGGCTGCCGCAAAGCATCCGAAACGTCGGGCCGAAGTTAAAAATCATTTTCAAATAAGTTTAACTAATATATCGCGCTTTAAACCGTTAAAGTGTTTTATTTAAAAGTAATAAACCGTTAGGTCTAATCGAGTGTAGACTTTTAGTTTTTAATGTTGTGTTAGTAGTTGTGGAGCTTGTGTGAAGTTGCGCCAGTTTTTTTTTTATGTTTATTCTGCTCTGTTCTCGTGTTGTTTAATTCACATGCATAGGCTTAGAGCTAATCTGTAACAAGATAATCTCAGTAGGTATTCGTGAATCGGTGTAGACCACAGGTGGGCGTTCGGGCAGGCGGAGTTACGAATCGGGCGTGTTTGGCGCATGCGTATTCATCTCATTCTACTGTACCAAGCTAATCTTAAAGCTATAAACGCTAAATGCCAATCGAGCTGTCTCTATTGGCGGCTCAGTGTCTGAGGAAGACAAAAGCTCGGTAGGCGACGCGGCAAACTCGAGAGGCACTTCGGAAACGCTGATACAGAACCGTGTAGCACCCTTTACGAAACTTGACCGCCCGCCGCGCTCTCGTCGCAAAATCGCGCGCAGTCAACGTTTCTTTTAACCGTCGATTTTTCTATTTCCCCGGCCAATCGGATAAGCTCGAGAATCTGGGTTAACGCGTCCTCAACGCCGCTTCTAATGAATTAACTGTTTCGCGTCTCCGAAATAGATCAAAAAAGCTGATGAATCTCGGTCGCGGAGACGCGACTGGGATATTTTCGTCGCGGCGGAACCGTTAAACGTTTCGAAGATTCCAACTTTCCGGCAATGACGCACGGCGGCTGTTCGTTCGTACGTCGCTAGAATCGCATACTCACAAAACGCAAGTGTCTCGATGTCTACTAACATAATTAGATGCTCGTTCCTGTCGAGGCTGGGTCTAGGTACAGTGTGAGTTTGTTGATGGTGATCCACAGCGTGTGGAGAATCATCCGAATCGATTGAGATCTATGAGACGGCTTACGAATTTTGGATTGCTTTGATTCAGTATGATTCTCGTAGTAAAGCCTTATAGATCTCGTCTGGGTCATCTTAGGTTTCTACAGCAGGTCTTTTATCGGCAGATTGTCACCTGGCTACGTGTATGGAGCGCCAGGCTACGTCGGTAGCGTGGGCGGAATGACAGCGGGCGTGGGCGCTGGTGCAGGGGGCCTAGTTCAACTGCCGCAGTTGCAGCACGCCGCCGCTGTGGCCGCTGCAAATCACCTGTACGAGTACCAGGCAGCAGCTGCGCAAGGGGCCGCGGCGTATCAGCAACAGTATGCTGCAGCTGGCTTCGATCCTTACGCTACTGCCGCTGGTTAGTATGAGTCTATAATTTTTCAGTGACAGAACATAGTAATGCAAAAATATATATGGGAAACTGACCTGTATCAAACTCATTTGTTGTCCCTTCAAAGTTTGCTATGTAATTTCCCATACATGGAGCAAGGAGACGAAATTTTGTGTTTCATTAATAGATTTACTACTTTGATGCCAGTAGTTGATATACGCTTAACTATTTATCCATAGGAGGGTCAAACAACAAACTCTTAATAAACGCCTGAATCGCTTCTAAGATACATTTATTAAATAATATTTATTGAAATTCACGGCCTAACCATATTTTCTGTTATTACAGCGGCTGCAGCAGCAGCAAGCGGTGCCGGCTACATGTCTCCATATTACGCATTACAAGGAGGCGGCGTCCAAGCTCCTTTACTCCCTCCCCTATCTTACCCCCCACAACTACAAGAAGCGCGCATGCAGTAACATCTGGCTAGATCGTCGCTATATGCACTGAAATCTTAAAGCAATCTCCCCACAAATTCAACCTGTAATATTGCCGCTCTACGTACGAGAGAAAAACTAATTTTAGATTGAAATAATTTTCGTCGCAAGTCGTTCCGTCGTGTCTGTCCATGTTTATCGAAATTCTCAATCCTTTTAAACACTTTACTATTATGGTTTATTGCGCTAGAAGTATGCATAAAGAATTGAGAATTCGACGCACGGCAGTTGTGGTCGAGGGTTCATATCCCACCCGTGACGGCGTTTTTTAAAATCTAAAAAACTGTTTAATTTATAAAAGCTCGCCTGATATCGTAAAAATTATAAATAATGAAGGAATCACTGACACACTTCGTACGTTTTATAAGTGGGAACGAAATCGCCACACAGAAAGTGGAGACAACTCGGTATAAATGTGTTCGAAATTGTATAGTGGCAGGAAAGAATCTTGGTCTCTCTACCCAAAGATTATATATTAAGCATTTCTGGCCTCTTATATAATATAGCATACAGCTAGATCTCCAAATGAGACATCTTGTTACCGCTTAATGCAACCGAGAGGATATCTTTCGTCGTTTTCGGATTTGGTCCTAAATTTGAAATACCTGCGACGGAAACTAAAAACGATAATTTAGTTAAGGACCGGTACAGTTTAGTTATGGGTGACGCAATTAGTATTAAACATGCTTAATTGGACATCGTGACGTCATAAACTGATTGTCATTTATTTAAGAAATAGCCAAACCATTGGTATCTTAGCGCCATCAATCATAAGTTTGTGAACTTAATATACTTTGAATGAAATGCCGAATATTTTGCCATTAATTTCGTCAATTATATATTTAATATAACCTTATGGTTTTACATACTATTATAACTATAAAAATACATACTCTATGTTCGTAATATATAGTTCTACAGACTATCCGACATCTCACTATTGTACAAACCTAAAAAAATGTTATCTGTTTATTTCAAAATGTTAAATTTTCACTAATGACAAGATTCATCCATTTTACTAGTTACTAATACGTAATTAATAAATGAGATTTCAAATAAGTTTCATTATGGTATTTAAGTCACATTCTTGACCATAGACACAAGACATACATAAAGGTTTGTCTCAAAAAAGGTTCCTATACAGATTTGACGTTTTAAGTTTTCTTACGCACTCTACATAATATTTTTTTTAGTAGATAACAACTAGAGTTGTAAACACAATTTTGTAAACATTGAGATCTGTCGTTTTGTTGATACATGTGGGGTATTTGTGCATGTTTAAAAGTAAGCAATGCTTCGTAAGCTTAATATTTAGGTCTTATTCACTAAAAATGTCCACGTTGCTCAATGTGTCCCCAAAGTGGACTTCGTATAGCTTAAGATCGGAGATGGGAGCGTACCTACGTAAAATTTTAGCGAAAGTACTTATTCATAATTCTTATGTATAACATACGACCCTAGTATTCTCCAACGCGGTATAGGGTACTTAATAGTTAGAATAATTCAATTACTAGTCCATGTAATATTAATTATAATGAAACTTGAAAATCACCGGTCGTAACGTACGAAAACTTAGGAAGGTTCAACAAGGATCCTACTGTGAAACATTATTTTCATAATTTAATATGACTTACCTAAATTTGGCCAAACATTTAGCTACAGTGTACTATGGTTAAATGACCTAACAGACGTTGACATAAATACACAAACGAATACTTGCGACTGGTGTTTTAGTACAAGATAATAAGGGCACTAGACAGAGTAGATTATAATAGGATAAGTGTAATCTTAGGTCTAATATTATGCTGTTATTCGTAATTTATTTTGTTGATATTTGTAAATCTACATGTTGATAACTATTTATTATGTGAAAGAGGAATAAAAATTGTTAAATATTTAAGAACCGAATTGATTCTCCTATGACGTACTAATGTCTGAGTAACTACAATTCGGTTCGATATATTGAATTATACACATAAAAGTATACATATAATAATTAGTTTAAAAAACCTACCAAATAGTATATGTATGCCATAAAAGTGGCCATCTTGCCTTATGCACATAGTTTAAAATTTAAATGAAGATATACACACATATATATTAAACATATCAAGTCCGACTAGGATGTATATTTTTAATATAAAGATGTTAATTCAATACACAGTCCATAATAGTGCATTTTATTCGGATTAATTCTAAGCACAATGTTTATGAATGAATATACCAGTAAATTCATAATAAATATCTAACAGATACTTGTTAAAAGTAATTAAAATTAAACTATAATGTACTTAATTTAGGGTATTTTAAAATGGAAAATAATTTTTAAGCCTCATTAATTGTTTTATTTCTTTTCCACATCAACATTCACTCCAAAATTATAGAAAAAATATCCTGTGATTCAAGTACAATATTATATTGGCGCTGTAACGTGTTATGGATGCATACCCCACGGAGCTGTGTAAAATCACGTTCCCTCCGTGGGGTGGGGGCGAACACATTTCTGTGGCTATTTTACTAATCAGTTTTACTTAATGATAAGTAGTTGACCAGACTTGTGCCCTGCCTGACAGCAACAATCGATACCTCGCGATTCGAACCCAGGACCTTTAACTAATAATAACTAAATTATTAAAAAAAATCATTACATACTGTCTATAGTTTACGTGAGTATACTACACATTGAAATAAAACCTTTAACGAAAAGTTATTAAATTATCATTATTATTATAAAGCTTGTTGATCGAATAAAACATAATTAACTGTTTTTGTCAGTTCAGGCAGGCTGATGTCTTAAAATCTCTAAAATGTACCTAGTTCTGATTATTTTCAAAATTAAATAAAACTTTCTTATACAAACAAGATATGTGTAAGTCGCATGTATAGATTTTATTCTATCAAAGTCTATTTAGATTGCTTGTTTTCTATTGAGTATTCACTGATAAGCTATATATGTATACAAGTGTATATGTCATAATAATTAATATTATTATATTAGGTGTCCGATAGTTTAGGTGATAGTTTAAAGTATTCGTCACAGATTAACGTATTTTTTCGGCTTAACACACTCAAGTCACAGAGTCAAACTTTAACTGTCAATGTCACTGTCAAAACCTAAGCTGTAGCCTATAAGGTTGCTTAATTTTATTTTTAAGCGGATTACAGTTTTTGTTTATTGAGTTTAACCTAAGATAACGATTGTATTCGATTTAAGTATGTATTTATTCATTGCGGATTGTGTGTTATTATTGTAAATATACGTCGTCGTTTATAAGCTATAATTAACAAATAAAAAAGGTAAAGTTTGTTTTTAACATCACAAGATATAATAGCGGCAGTGATACTGTATAAATATAATTTTGTGAGAAGTAGATATTGTTCTTTAATTTGGCATATACCATTGATGAATATGACTGTAAAATAACGATAACCTTATCAATATCCAGTGAAGAGGCAGAATGGCCGGTCAGGGCCATCAGTTCCCTGGGAATTTTCAAGGAAATCCTGCTTCTATGAGATCCGGCTATGGAGGAGGTCCAATGAGTGGACAAATGCAGGCTATGCCAAATCAGTTAGCAGGTATGTCATTTTTTTTACAACAAGAGACTTAGACTAGCATGAGAATTTCTCCATCGACATAACATCCTAAACTAGTTGCTCTGGTCACCCGTGACGCTCTTTATTGCCTTAGAACAAGATATCCACATTCTGAAACAGAATCTTTGATTTGCTCTTTACAACTTTTCCACTTGTGAATGGAGGTTTGTGTACTTGGGGGAGTTTCAAATTCTTCATATCATATTTTCTAAAGAGGGCTACGAAAGAAGTCTGGCAGAAGTATTTCCTAAACCAAATTTTAACTTTCTTATGTTCTCTTCAGTTATATGTTTAATTTGTGTTTTAACTTGTCTTTCAGGAGTAATGGGCGGTCCCATGGGAGGGGCTGGTATGGTTGGTATGGGCAATCAGATGGTCCCGCCATATGGTGCTCCAATGCAAAGTCAAATGGCAAATATGGGAATGGCACCACAGGTAACATATTTTCTTTTTTTTTGTCTCGGGCATTAATTTTGTAGGCAGGGGCAGTTTTGGTAAATTTAAACCTAACTTGGGGGTATTTTAGGAATCCATTGGTGATTTGGTTTTGTTTTTAATAGGACATCATTTCTAGTGTAACTGATTTATTTATTAGTAAAAACTTAGTAAGACTGATGTTGCCGTTTTAATTATCTCATTATATTACTTTGTTGTAGTGTAGTAGGGACACAGAGAGAAGGAATGTTGATCAATCCACACCATTTGTTGACTTTTTAACCAATTTCCCTTTCCGCTTTTGCAGAGGCTAATATATATACTACTGAATATTTTTTTTAATTGGTGCCATATCATTGCAGGGAATGGGAGTAGGTGTTCCTGGTCCAACAGGTATGGGACCACAGGGAGTTCAACAACCAGGTCAGACATATTTCTTTGTAGACCTTTAGAACCTCACTATATCAATACTAATATATAAAGCCGATGTTTGCTTTAACATGCTAATCTCAAGAAACTACTGGATTTGAAAAAATATTTTTGTGTTAGTTAGAGCATTTATCGAGGAAGTTATAAAACATTGTGTTGTGACTGATAGAAGTAAAGAAACAGAGGGAAATGTGAAAATGATTAATGTTTGTGAGTTTCCGAATGCTAAAACGGTTCAAGACACCCAAAAAAAAATATCAAACAATGATTCCTCTTTTAATGTGAAAAATGTCCGAGACACTATATGTCTATCTGCCTTCTTTGTTGGTAACAACTTGATTATATAAAGATGAAGATAAGGTTTGCAAGAACAAATTTTAATGCTCCCTGATAACTATATAATCTTCATAAATATAGTAATAAGTATCAATTACTCCTGACGGTAATTACTAAATTGTCATTGTAGCAGAGATTATTATTACTTAATGGAAAATAAAAACGTACTGTAAAACCTTTGTTCAAGAAAATTTTGATTGACAATTGAATGGGACACATTTGAAAATAAAAAAGATTTTGGCCCTATGCACTAACACTTTGGTGTACTTGTACACTTGAGTTAGATTATGTACTCAGACACTGCAAATGGACTAAGAACAGCTCTGCCCTGAATCAGGTCAAGCACAAACTTGTTCCCTCAAATACCAGAACATGTGCCCAAGAGTCCAAAGCTGATTTTGTGTTAAGAATATAATAACCCAATATTTTTACAGTTTTAAATGTTATAGATTGTACTATTTCAGTTGGCATGCAATCAGCAGGCACAGTGCAAACTCCCACAGCACCAGTCCCACCATCAGCACCCAATCACCCACCACAGACAAAAGACTTCAATACAGCATCCTTATGCAAGTGGGTCGCATTTAGATTTTTTGAAATACCAATTGCTATATTAATTTTTACTGTTTTGCACATGAAGCATATATAATTTAAAAATCGAAAATAAATTGAAAAAAATTTCGACTCGGACAGGATTGAAGGTATCGGTAGGACTTGGTAGCTCAATTGGTAGAGCAACAGCACGGAACGTGACGATGCCGGTTCAATCCTTCAAGTCAATTTTTTTTCAATTTATTTTCGATTTTTAAATTATACCAATTGCTATACGCTATAACGCTGTATTCTGAGCTGTTTGTTGTGAATGTATAAAGAACGAGTTTTTTCTTATATCAAGTTAATTGTCTATATTATAATTGATAATAATTTTTTTGATACTTGGTAGGAATAAATATTGTGATTTTTTCTATTATGATAACTTTAAACTAATACTGTTTAGTTTACCGAGAGTACACATTTAAATAAAACACTTTAACGGTTTAAAACGCGATGTATTAGTTAAATTATTTGAAAATGATTTTTAACTTCGGCGTCGGATGCTTTGCAGCAGAGCTCCCACCACGGCTGCTGCCTTTAAACTAGTCAAACTTGAAGGTGAAATATCCCAGCTATATGAAATCTGAACAAGATGCACTGTCGACTTATTTTGGCTCTCGAAAGGCACAGACTGGAACCAAAACTTTCATTTCTCCCTTTTCATCTGTGTGCTGGACGAATTTTCTTCCTACCCAATTAACATCCAGATTACCAGACTGAGTTCCAATATGTTTCAGAAAAAATATAAATTGATGAGAAATATGTTGGATGGGGATCGAACAGTTAATCTATATTGAAGTGAATACAGAATGTATTGTCCATTTGCTACTGTAAGGGACATATTTCGCGGTTTAAACCGTTAAAACCTTTTATTTCATTTATTACAGATTTGGCCAAGAGACAGTTCAGGACATAGTGAGCAGAACGCAGGAGGTGTTTCAAACATTAAAGGCGATTCAACCCCCGAACGGTACGCAGCATGGAGAGAATGCATCCAACGACAAGAAGACGAAGATGCAAGAACAGTTGCGCACGATCAGGTTGCTCTTCAAACGGCTGAGGCTTATCTATGAAAAGTGCAATGAGACTTGTCAAGTGAGTTATCATGTAAATATATTTGTGAGAATCTTTTTATTGTGTATTTTCTATAACTTGGGAAAAGACCACAACGACTATAGCCGACCTTCAAACCATAGAGAACTAGTCAAGACCTGCAATGATCTTGTGTGAAAAACTCGGTTCTATCTATTGTATGCCAAATTAGAAAGAAAACATTTTATTTTTTTTTTGCCCCTTTTTGATTAAAATAATATTTTATTTTTCTTTAACCCTTCCAGCTGTTTTTTTTTTTTTTTTAACCCCCCCCTTTTTTTTTTTCCAAAAAATTTAAAGGGAAAATTTTTTTTTTTTTTTTTTTTTTTTTTTTTTTTTTTTTTTTTCCCCCTTTTTTTTTTCCCCCCCCCCCCAAAAAAAAAAAAAAAATTTTTTTTTTTTTTTTATATTTTTTTTTTTTTTTTTTTTTTAAAAATTTTTCTGTTTTTCGAAATTAAAATTTCATGGAATCTCATTATTTATCTTCAAACCATTTTCATAGAATAGATAACTGATTCCCAATAACACAAATTCGCACTTAGCCGGCACTAAACTGGATATTATAGATAAAGTTTGTCTTAAAAAGGGAAGCTTTAAAAAAAAATCAAACAACATCTTTGCTTCGCCTTATTATATATCTTCTATTGGTTCAGGGTATGGAGTACACGCATATGGAAAGTTTGATACCGATCAAAGACGAGGCTGATAATAAGGCTCTGGAGGAGAGACGCAATACAGAAGCCTATCGGACCGCCCTGGATGAACATAGAGAGCTGACAGAACAGGTATTTTAACTGCTATCATGTTAGGGGAGAGTCACTTTATTGTCTGAATATGATTAGTTTATTGATGAAGTACAAATCATAGCAATCCTAACTAGTAATGTAGCTAGGTGGACAAGGGCTGGTATATAAGGAAATAATCGAACCCTCATCCCCTCTTTTCGCGTAGCCCTTACTGGTGTATCCATATTTTCCAGACTAAACATGTAGCTAAATTATACATTTATTTTTGAAACATGTTTGGCATGGTGGGAATCTAACTTACCACCTGTTGATTATGATCAATAAAATAAAAACAAATATCCACTAACAAACATGCATATGCAACATTATTTCTAATAATACATATTGTTTGTTGCAGGTGGCGCTGAAAAACAAACAGTTGAAAGAAGTAATCACTAACCTCCGGACAATAATTTGGGAGATCAATGTGATGCTCACTATGAGGAGATCTTGATTCCGAATTGTTTATATAGCTGTGAACGTGTAATTATTGTAAATATTAATAAATCTGGTTTGTTGTTTGTATGTCTGTTCGTTTTAAAATATAAGATTAATAGGAAATGTTGTATTGTGTCTTTGACCAAAACTATTACCTTTTAAACCATATTTAAATTTTTATGTATTTATTGCAACTGTACGTGCGCGAGGTCGGCTCGTACTTAGCCGGTTAATTAAGGAATAAAACATTAAAAAATTAATTATCTTTATTGATGACATCACTTATTAAATTAAAGATGACACATTTAATAAATAACAATAATGGCAAGTTTATATCGTAGATTCACCGTGTACTTATAACTTATTTGTCACATTTTAGTATTTGCATATATGTATTCGTAAAGTACCGATGTATGATGAAAAAGTGGTTTAACTTCTGATGAATGTTCTTCTTTCTACTCCTTAATTTGATCTTATTCTTTCTACATGTAAGGCTTAAATTCTAGATTCTAGACCATATTAAAAATCAATATTCGATCGGTTTCGGAACATCGTAGCTTGCTTTTTTCTTTTTCTCGATCAATTTCTTTTCGTATGGTCGCTTATCGATGTTCTCTGGGACATACTCCGGTTCCTTATCCGGTACATCAGGGACGGCGTCGACGAGTTTTCCCGCGCTTCTGCCGGCGGGAATAGCATGGAATGCTTCAGCCAGCTCAGGGTTGATGTCCTCCAGGGGAGTGTCACCGTTCTGGATGTAAACTGGGACGTAGCCGAGCACTTCGGGGAGGAACTGCCATTTCGGACGAGCCTCTGCGGAGAAGGTTTGGTGGACATTATTATATACATTCAGATAATCAGTGGCATTTTATCAATAAAAGGAAATCGTCGCGGTGTTTGTGTGGTCGTTGTGGCGACCTAAAGAAACATCATTAATGACGTTACTGATTCGGAAAAAGGGAACGTTACTGAAAATATTAGGATGGAGCTCATGAGTCTACTAACTCAACTAAGTATTATATTGTTATGTAATAATACAGCTACATGATTATCTATGAATGCCAAAACATATATTACAAACTAAAAGAAACTCATTGAAGTATTTTTATACTCGCAACTTTGTTCGCAAAAACGCTGCTCAGGCGCGTCGCTCAGACGCTGACCGAACATCGACGCTAGTGGTTTCTTAAATAGATTTTAGAAGACGAGAACATTTTTATTATATAGGTTGACTAGATTTATACCGCATGACACTACGACGTCCGCTGTTTTACTAAATGTGTGTTTTGTAATGAAATTAAAATTACAAATGTATGTCGTAGATAGTGTTTTTTTAATTATCTCGATTCTAGCGAATCGGATTAACTTGTAGGTCCAAAGATAGCAATTTGGGACGTGGGTTCGATTATCAATAGTTTTATATGTTCCTTAAACATCCATCACCTTCCTTAAAGTAAACATCAGCTTTTAGATAAAACTCTTAACGGTTTAAAACGCGAAATGTTTAGGTCCCTCCGTAACCAGGGCTGCTGCGAACCACCCGAAACGTCGGGGGTAGTTAAACACAAATTACACAACAAAATGAAACATGTTTATCTAATATATTTTTCATTTGAAACGGAAATTTTCATTTAAAGTGGTTTATTTAAATGTGTACTACTCGCGTAAACACCGACAGTGTTTAAACACTTGTTTATGACGTTGCAGTGGTCTAGGTCCATTAGCGATTAATCAAGGCAGTAATTAAAATGTATTTCTGATACGTGAAATCCCGGAGGTCACCAGACGGGGTTCCGATGCGCACGAGTGTGCATCGTGCATCGTAAATCTGCTAATAGATATTGGATAGGATACCCGTTCGAACCGCTTTTCATCCTTGTTAGTGCCGGTCGTTCAACTTGCAAATATCTTTGTTTAAATATTTACTTCATTTAAGAGTAGATGGCGCAGGTCTTTGTTATGAATCTCAAGGAAGGTGTAGAAAAAAGACAGACTTCTCTTCATTTCCATGTCATCTCTATCTAGACTCTATTTTCATATGACACATAATTCGTACCTTCATCTCTTACCCAAAATATCTTTCCCACTATAACAAATCCAATGGTCAACAGCGCTTCCTTATTCTAAATAGATGTTATAGGTATAGGGCATCTTTCATATTGTGATGGTTCACCTCGTTGGTGTAATGGTAGCACAGTATGACTAATAAGAAAATCATTAAAAATCATTTTCAAATAAGTTTAACTAATATATCGCGTTTTAAACCGTTAAAGTGTTTTGTTTAAATGTGTACTACTCGCGTAAACTATAGACAGTAATCCGAATCATAATTTTAGTTACCAAAATTTTTAAGTTATTATTTGTAATTTTATAAGTATTTTTTTGATTGGAACTGGGTTTTTTTTTTTTTCCATCTAAAATCCATTTAAATAAAACTTCGTTTAAAACTTTTTTTTGAAATATTTTTAATTGGCACTTTGATGCTTTGAGCCTGGTCAAGAAGTGACCACGTTCTATTTAAATAGAATCCATTCTTAATTTTTAATAGCTACTAAGTTAAAACAAGAATAATTTAATACTTGGAAGGAACTTAGATCATCATTGGGAATAATGATACTCGTAATCGTGATATTCAAAACATTAATCATCGGCATAATATAGAGGTGATTAAAATTAATTGTAATCAACACAATAATATTATTGTTTAAATATCGGTTCTTAGAATTTAAACACTATATACATGACCCTATATAAGGAAATAAGTATCTATTTTTGCGATTCGAACCTTTGACCTTGCTTAAAGCAATGCGTGCAAGGCCATTTCCCATTACAACTTAGAACTTAGGTGTATATGTATATATATAGCCATATAACTTCTAAACTAGATGCGCTGATATTCGAAATACACAGACTGAATACAGGCGATTTCATCTGTGAACGATGGTTCGTACCACGACGGAATTTGGATAATACAGTTTAATATCCAAATATCCAGTCCAACATGTCTCGGAAGAATTATAAATTAACTTTAAAGGTAGGGATTGAATCCACTAACGCACTTTGCTACCATTAGGCCATCGACGACGGGCTGTCGTTGCTAAGAGAAGGATAGACTAGAAACATAATATTTGTGATTGAATTTTTTATCATGATTCACCAGATTTCGAACCATGAACTGGGCGTTTCGGCTAACGCATGCTAACCATAGCAACGGAGGTAATAAAAACATATTCTCTAGAGCATAGCGTAGTGCATTGACCGAAAAGCAACTCATTACCAGTTGGTAATATTATTTCCCGTTCGACTTCCATCTCGACACTTATCACCTGTCTATCATACACGGGGACAGCACCAAACATGATTTTAATAGCTGTAAGAAAGTGCCAGCGATAATGGCTCTTCTTGCTAACATTTTACCATCTATATTGTCGTGAAGACGAAGATGAGTACTGTGTGCATATTCGGTTGCCTGTTCAGTGTTAAATCAAGTTAAATTTACGAAGCGAGTGCAAGACTTTCGTCTAACGGTTTAAAAGTTTTTGCCTCTCGAACGCTAACTGTATTGGCTTAATGCTTTCAAACATGACTACACCAAACATCAATTATGGTTAGCTATGAAACACCTACAAGTAATTTCGTGACACGATTTATTTGAATAAAACACTTTTAACGGTTTTAAACGTGCGGTATTAACGTATTTTTAAGTCATTATTTTTTTATTTATTTTATTCTTTTTTCCGAAATTCGAATCCAGGATAATAAAAATAATATTATTTTAAAATTATGTTTCTGTGATAGAAATAGGCCTTCCCATGACCACCGCTGCTGCAAAGTATTCGAAACGTCGGGCCGAAGTTAAAAATAATTTTCAAATAAGTTTAACTAATATACTACTCGCGTTAACTACAGACAGTATTTGTTAGAAATAGCTTATGTCTTAAAAGTACTATTAGACTATTTAGTTATTTCTTGCATTTTTGTAGAGATAATTAAACTATTTATTTTTTGTTTTATAATTTTAATAATAATATTTTCTTAATAAAATAATCTTATTACAAATATTTACATGACACTTAAAGTCACTCTCCCACGCAGACAAACATACGAGCGACCTAGTTTCTTATTTTTGATGTAGTCAAAATAATAAGTACCTGTGATAAAGAGAAAGGTGTAATAAGTAATAAATTTATAAATTTCTTAAGCAGAACTTATTTTTATAGCTTGCTTCGTATGTAGGTCTATATGTTCCTCTGTCAAAACCTGTTCAGAATTTCATCTCTATGTACGTATTTGTAGGTCAGTAGGGCATCATAGCGAAATGCATTCGACATATAAATCATTATTTTAAGATTTAATAACATAATATATATATTTCTTACAGTAGATAAACTGTATATAATATCGATTATTGTTTAAAATTTTCACGTAAAACTGGCGTGATAATATTTTCTTAAATAAATCAATTAGCAATTAGAGAAAAGTGATAACTTTCAAGCTTTTTAGATCTTTGTTGCACTTTGCAACCGATAGATGTCGTGTCGAAGATGTAAAATGAAAATTCAAGCCTGGTCTGAGGAAAACATATTAAGTGGTCTTTAGTATAAAATAAGCAGTCTTTTGACGTTTGTCCAGCGCGAGAGGTCCTGATTTAAGTCCTTACCTAGCGATAAATTATTTCGATCGGGCAGGGTCGGCAGTACATCAAATAAAACCGATCTTTGACACGGGTACAGAATTGTGTTCGCCTCTCAGCGGGAAAACGGGATTCATCGATATTTTTATATTTGCAGCTTTTCAGATAATATCAATACATATTAACAAAATACTTATGTGTTATTATTGCGTTGTCAATTTAAACGAAATAGTATTAACAATACAATAATTGTTTTTCGTATCTGAAATAAACTAGGTTAGTTCAGAGGTTAGAATTCTTATCAGAGGTTGTAAATTGTTGATATATCTCTAATATATCTTTAGATATACGCAGTTGCATATTGTTAAGTAATTATTTAATTAACGTTTAGGCATTTGCATCAAAATATTTATTTAATTCAAAATTATGTACTGTCTATAGTTTACGCGAGTAGTACACATTTAAATAAAACACTTTAACGGTTTAAAACGTTGAAGTGTTTGATTTAAATTAATTGAAACAGTTTGCTTAGTTTAAAAGTAAGTTTGTAATCTCATTTTATTTTAAACTACCTGTCATTTGTCCGAGTGGAATAGTTTTTTTTTCAATTTGCAAACAACCTCCATCATCTTTTCCGCGACTATCGTTTTTGCGAGTTACTCTTAGGTGAAAGCCATATATTGTCGCGAACTTTTTTTAGATTATTTAAAATTTTTATTTTTTTGGTTTCTTGAACCGATTGCAGCACACGCAACAGAAGCCAATAAAGTTGAATAATTTTCCCCGCTTTTATCACATTTCCCTCAGTTTTTCCGCTCCTATTGGTCACATCGTGATGTTATATAGCCTAAAGCCTTCCTCGATAAATGCTCTAACGAGTTTAAAAAGTAAAGTTCGAATCTGAGATTAGTGTGTTCAAACAAACAAATTCTCGCTTAGAATGTTCCAAAATAACGTTCCAATTTTATCGAGTTTTAAGATGTCATTAAAATACAATATTTTTTATAGTAAATGCGATGAAACGACACGCAATAAGAGTCATCGTCCTGTCCAGTGATGTGTAACCCTCACTTAAAACAGGTTGATCGTGTTGGTTTTGTATTATTATAAAATTCCAATTTCGAGCGGGCTATTTAGACATAAAACGGCTTTCGTTCGACATCTTCGACTTGATCGTTATAACATGACTAGCTGTGTCCGCGACTTCGTCCGCGTAGGATTAGAGGAGCTTTTTTAGGAGGAGGGGCTTTAAGATAGTATTGGCTTTAAGGTAGATTAGTATTGTATTTCTCTTGTCCTGTAAAGGTAGAATATTTTTTTTTATTTTGCTAGAGGAGGACCGACAAACAAGTTCACTTAATGGTAGATGACACGCCCCAGCCATGTAAAATCTAAACAACATGCGTTGTCGTCCTATTTTGGCTTTGAATGAATGTAAACAATTGACTTGATATGGTGTTACAAATAAAAATTAAATAAAACGCTTTAACCGTTTAAAACGTGAAACATATTCGTTAAACTTATTTTAAAATTATTTTAACTACGGCTCGATGTTTCGGATGCTTTGCAGCAGTCGTGGTCACGGGGAGATTATAGACTGCATAAAATTATTAATATAAAATTTCTGCAACAAACATGTTCTATCAAACATTAAAATTGTAGTTTTTTTGCAATATTTTTGTAACCAATAGCTCTCAAGCCAGTTTATAATTGCTAACGAATCATAGCAACGTGAGTCAGATTTAGTTTTTTGTTCGTGTTGGGCAAAGTTATGTCTAAACATCGTGAGCTTTTAACTTTTTATTAAATTCTTTGAATGATGATGTAAATAATATGAGCAATCGCTTAAAATATATTATAAACTTAATAACATAAAAGTTTTAAAGGTGGGATCATGGGGCGAACATATTTTTATGCCCTCATCACTAATAGGTTCCGACATGTAGTTGATCCGACGACAGTCCGCCCGACCGAAATTGTTTTTGTCCCGGGATCCGAACCCAGGTATTATCGTGATTAATGCCAAACAACACGCTTAACCATTGAGCAGGCTTTAATATGAGTAAGTATTGATCAGAAGTTAAGGACGACCCAATGTTAAGATTATGAAATGGCGAAATATTTTATTCAAAACTAATACTATTATAATACGATCCTTGAGGTGTCTGAGGCAATTAAGCGAAATTGATGTGCATACAATCATTTTTAACAGTTTGCATATCACGCTATTTAACGCGAATTATGAATAGCCGTTATACGTTGACCAATATATGATGATAAGTTTGAAAGTTCACGCCTAATGTAAGGTGTTGCATTAAATACTATCTATCTGTAGTTTACGCGAGTAGTACACATTTAAATAAAACGGCCCGACGTTTCGCCGTAGGTAAAAAAAAATCTTATAAGTTCAACTAATGTACATCATGTTTTGAGCCGTTAAAGCGTTAAGGTATTTGAATTATTTGGTTTAATAATACCGTATTTCATCCGATAAGTATTGTCCCAGTGCTTAGCAAATAACTAATCGTATTGGTAAATTATTGAATACAGTATAATGTATGCGTTCAATTTTCCTTTTCAATGTATTATTATATCATACATCCCAATACCATCCTTCTTTCTTTCTTTTAATTTAACAGATTAATACTCAGAAAACTTTAATATTTTTCCACAGAATATAAATTAAATATCGATTGTAAATTGAGTACACGGTACGCTACGTATACGGTGACATAGTAGCAAAATCGGTTAGAGCACGTACGTTACTGTGGGTGCCGGTTCAAGTCCTGAACGTGTCAAATTTTTTTTCAAATTATACTCGATTTTTAATTTAAAGTATTATCTATGACATCGAATACAGACGTTTACGATTCCTACTATTCATATTAGAAAACTTATCATCCTATATTAAACAAAGTATAATTGATTGAGGCGTATGTATTATCAAAAAAAGATCATATCAAAGACACGACCACGGAAGATTTAAAATTAAAACAAAGAAGAGTCGTGACTTCGTATAGACTATAGTCCACCATTACGTGGTAATTAATGTGATTGTGGTAATTCTTGTAGGATGTTTAAATATGAATTTATTGTTATATTAGTTTTTTTTTTTTTGCAATACAGTTTTTTTTATGACAGAGTAGAACAGACGGACAAGCAACTTGGAGAGTTGGGTGAAAAATCCCAACCATACAAAGATATCAACAAAATGTGCTGTCAACACAATATTTGGGTTTTGGATATTCCGAAATCTAGAACCTGCAATGCGAATAAACTCCATGTATTTTCCATCTGTGGACGATACTTGCCGACATTTATACTACTTATTTAATAACCAGATTTCCAGAAAACTATAATATGTTTCAGAAAAAATATACATTGATTAGAAAGATGTTGGATCTGGTGTGGATCGAATCCACGACCTTTTGATTGATACATAGCTACCATTAGACAACAAGTCTTTCGAGTTTAGTTATGTTTGATGTATGAGTTTATTATATTTGTGTTAAATCACTGACATTATCAAGTAGCCGAGCAAATTTGTTAAATTATATTTGTTTAATGAATAAACATCAATACTATCTATATATATTTTTTGCAATTATCACTTGTTATTTAATGTTAAAATTGTTGTATAAATAAATGTGTTTATTATATAACAAAAACAATCTTACCAGAAATCACTAAACATATAGCGACCACAGTTAAAACAGATTTGAACATTGTGACGAAGAAATTAAATGATAAATCCGCGATCGTGATCCGCCCGTGGGCTTTGGTAGCAAGCTTACGAGTGATGCGTCCGCGCACCCAACCGGAATAATGCCGCGCTACATGTGCTACGGATCCCTAACTTTCAGCTTTTGCCTCATTTATCGTTTTGTTCGCTTGTGGCCTTTTAAATGCACTGCTTAATGAGCTTTTGTAGTAAAAGCTATACATGTAATAAAATACATTACCAAGTACGATAATACTGTACACAATACACAAGTACGATAATACTTTTAACGATTTTAAAAGCGACTTCTTTTTATTATTCACAATTCATTTTAACTACGGCCCGACGTTCCGGATGCTTTGCAGTAGCAGCATTTGGGCTGTAGTTAGAACAAATTGTAAAAAATAATTAATATATTTCTCGTTTTAAACCGTTTTATTCAAACGTGTATATTTCGCGTTAACAGCAGACAATAGTTATCTGTTGGTTTTCATTTATCAGTTTTAAATACCGCCATTTTAAATATATACAATGTTTATTGTTGCTTTATACAAAATAATTTGTAAGCCACTCCTCTATGATTGACAACCATTGTATCTTTAAGACTTCACCTAGGATTGTGTTAATTAGGGGAGGTTCAGGATTGAATTCCCGGCGAAACATGATACATTGTTTCGTTCGGGTACCTTTACCTGATCAATCAAGTCCATTGCTTGCCTGCAAATATACCAACCAATGAAATTTACACTTAAATCCATTTGTCTCATGCCACAGACACGAAAGCAAGATTTCACTGCAAAACAACTGTGAAAGCCTCATAGATCATAGCCGATGGAAGCAAGGTGAAAGGTATTTTATGTTCTCCACATTATTTATTTCTATGACATTAAAAAAGTTACTTATAACTAAAAATAAACTATGAAATAACCATTAAAATAAAACACTCTTAACGAGTTAAAACGCGAAAGAATTTAGTACTAATATATATCGCGTTTTAAACCGTTAAATGTGGTTTTGTTTAAATGTATACTACTCGCGTAAACTTCCGAGTATAGCCTGGAATAACTTTTAAACGAAAAAATGGTTTAATAAAATATAATTTTGGTCTTTAAATGCACAAAATTAAAACATAGGGTCTTCCTTCAAACAATTTAGGTAATACCATAACATTAAAGCTGTACAGATTCACATGAGCTGAAACCTTAATTGAATTTAAAAAATAAAAATTTTATGTTCATATGGAATTATTAAGATTAGAACGGAACGTATCCTACATTTGGGTTAACTATAAACTTACTATCGCCATAAAATTATTACGAGCTATCACTTTTACGACCATAAATATATACTAGATTATAAATTGTGTAGATATATATATATCATATTATAAGCGGTGTCCGCGAGAAATAGTTATTTTGAGCCATACAATTATTTTTTGCAATTCTTTTAAGTTCTAGCTGTTACCCTCCTCCGCCCTTCGCATCCCTTCGTTCTTGGCTGTCATTCTTAAAAGATACATATTCTGTCACGGAAGTTTTTGATACTTTAAGTGGAATCATTCTTTCATAAATACTTTTTGGTTTCTTGAACCGTTTCTTTTCCATTTTCTTTACTGATTCTTACTTGTTCCCAACGAGTAGTTCCTAAGATTAACACGTTCAAGCAGCTTTATAATATTACTATAGATGTCAAAATACTACTAGGTATATAATACCGTAGTATATAAACATATTATTTGTACAAATAAGAATGTAGATGTCGATTAATGGGCATTTAATTGTAGGTTCCGTCTCACTGAAAACTGAATTTATTACATGCAATTATTGCATATCTTCAGAACGACCTCTTGCGGGAAAATATTCTTTTTTTTACTGTAGTAGGGTCTAAAGTTCTATACAGGAATTATTGTGCATAGATATTAAAAAAGTTAATTATACGACATAAGGGTCTTCGCGACTAGATTCGTAGCAAGGCCGGGTACATCGACCTCAAAGGTAATGACCGCACTTAGCTGTATAGTCTTCATTAAATTACGAAAATAAAGTACTTGAATTGAAATTGAGCAAAAAACTACAGGTTCCAATTTCTCTTTTTAAATTCTTGATAAAGGAAAACCTGTACATTTATTGAGTTAATTTTGTTCTAGATCTGTAACATTCTATTTTCAAACTTGTTTTTAAATAAAACACTTTAACGGTGTAAAATGCGATAATTATTTGTTAAACTTATTTTAACTACGGCCCGACCTTTCCGATGCTTTGCATCAGCCGTGGTTACGGGGAGACATACAGGGAGTCTCCCTGTGACTACGGCTGCCCTCAAATATGTTTAACTAATATATATCGCGTTTTAAACCGTTAAAGTGTTTTATTTAAATATGTACTACTGGCGTAAACTATAGACAAACTTGTTTTATTAAATTAAATATAATTTTATTGTTGTTTTATCGAATAATACTTTTTAAAAGGATAAGAAACAATTACTAAGTTTTAATATGAAACAAGACGAAGTATATAATATGGTTAAGGACTCGGTAGCTCAATTGGTTAGACGTTAGAGCAACAGTACGGAACGTTGTAAATGCTGGTTCAAGTTCTGCCGGCGTACGTAATGTTTTTTTATCCCAAGAGATTTTTTATTTATATAATGCCATCATATGCAGTAACGTGTTGAAAATATTAACATTTTGATATAGTTAGAAACTAATTTAATTCCATGCTTCGACAATTTGAAATCGATTTTCGAGTCTTCAGTCATATTTACTGTAGAGTAAAAGAAATTACATTAAAACGCCTGTCATAAAAAATATGCAATACCTTTTAAAATAGCTTTGCTACTGTATGCTAGGTATATTATTTTATATGTGGTTTGTGTATTATAGATTTTGTCAAAACTATTACCTATTTGACTGTCACTTGAATTTGACAACTTTTGGTATAAAGTCTAATATGTAATCCTTATCTCAATCAACTACTATAGTAGTTAATTTAACAATTAACAAATTTACAATCATATCTTCCCAATTTGATAAAGAGAATATATTTAAACATACTAAAAATATATATAATTTTGGCAATTATTACGAACGATATGGAACGCGTTGAACTCTAATATAAAGGATTTTGTTGAAAAACGGTAAGGGACATCTATTGAACAAATTTGATTGAGTGGACTGAGTAGAGTCACGCCACGGAATACCGTGGTGTGCATGTGAGTTCCAGTCGAGCTATATTTTTTCCAATCTAAATAGAATTTTAAAGTTAAGGCGACAAGAAATTGTGATGAACCATCATAAAAATAAATAATTCTATAAAAGAGTCTCTTTAAAGTAGTCTATATAGGACGCTGTAAATAAGGCGCAATACAGCGCCTTATTTAAAATACTGTGCGACCACGCGTACACACGTGTCGTCGTCGAAACTTTGTGTGTATTGAAACACCCGACCTACGCAGCCTATGACCAAGGAAGTGACGCAATCCTTGAATTATAATGCTATTGTAGTTTGTTATGATGCCTCGCATACGCAAGCGTTTAGTACCAATCCCGGGGAGAAAAGTCGAAATGAGTCTGAAGAAATATTTGCTATATATACTAAATAATACTGAGTCCAGTGAAAAAGCAAAAATTTCTTAAAGTAGTCTTAGTCTAATGGTATTAACGGGTTAAATTCCTACCACCTACTACCGTAAGCTTCCAAATGATCCTAATAGATTTATAATTTTTCGAAATCATGTTGGACTTCGTCTGGACATCCCACGGACATCTAGATATTAAAAGGGTGTCCTAAAATATCGGAATATCCATCCTGACACGAACCACAGCCGATTATCTAAAATAGCAATCAAAGCTAAAATGATCATAGCGCATCTCGTTACGAGTTATATGGCTATCGTACCTTCCATTTGAGCTCCATTCTCTCCTGTCATATTTAATAATATACTTACGAAGGGAAAGTGACGTTAAAGGAAGAACACACTATATTTTATTTTGACTACTTTTATGATTATTGTGTAGATTTTATTGAATATGAATATCTTAATAAAATTATTATAAATGAACATCATAACACGTTATTAACAAAATAACATGTTGTAGACTTGTTTTGGCTCGTTATAGCTTTTTATGATTGATATTGCAGGAAATACCGCTTTTTGTGATGAGCATTACATAATAAGCGTGCGAGGAAGATGTTCATAGAAAATCAATGTTTAAATTTGTTGTAGATTGTTAAACACGTCGTGGTTTTTGTGGGAATCGAACTTAATTACTTTGCATCCGGGTTCACGATCCATTATTTACGTATGTAAACTGCATGCTGATATTATCTATAAGTATAGTCGAGCTCTTGTTGTTATATTTGTTTATATCATCTGCAAAATATTACAAATCCTATGACATGTTATGCTAGACTAAAATATAATAAGCGGTCTTATAGATAACGAGCGATCACTTCCAGACAAGCTAAAATTTAGGAAAAAATATAGAAAATGAGATGGGCAAGGTACATGAAACAAATTAATACAAAATTTTAAGCTAAAATGGACAAACCTATTGATCAATTTACTTCAATTATTGACTAAATCATTTCTTTCTTTTGTTTTGATTGTCGGCTACAGTTTTTTTTGTGCGCTTTTTGAAGTAGACGAACAAAGAACGTACGTCTATAGGTAGAGAAGGATCTACGATACCGTTGAACTGGATGATATAATCATTGGTAGGACAACAGCAACGCTCAGCAGCGTCAAGGTGTCCATTGATGAATGCAAAGTCTTGCATTTACGTTACATGGGTGTTATCATCGATCAAATTTATAATTCAAATTCTTTCCGAGTTTTTAATCTTTGCTGTGATGGCTTTGAAGAAATGCAATAAATATTACTATTCATATGTGGAGTGAATCAGTTATGATCAGTAAAGGTAAAATAAAAGACTCAAAACTGATGTAGGAATGTATTAAATACTGTCTATAGTTTACGCGAGTAGTACACATTTAAATAAAACACTTTAACGGTTTAAAACGCGATATATTAGTTAAACTTAATTGAAAATGATTAGTGGTGGTCACGGGGAGACTCTCCGTGACCACGGCTGCTGCAAAGCATCCGAAACGTCAGGCCGAAGTTGAAAATCATTTTCAAATAAATTTAACTAATATATCGCATTTTAAACCGTTAAAGTGTTTTATTTGAATAGGAAGTTATTCCTTACATAAAATTTATAAGCAACTCCTGTTTCAAATATTAAACTTGGTAAGTCTAAGTGAGCAGCAATTTTTTGGTAATATTTGCATTTTAATACAGTTACTATTTTAATTATACAATTATTTATTTGCATTCATTCTTACTACATACAAGTACATTAATATAAACATAAGAAATAATTAATTACGAATATAAAACCAGAGAAATGCGGGTATAACAAATCAAGAAGCTTAATCTAAAAGATTTTTTACATATAATTTAAATATATATATTTATTGAAAATCATCAATTTGGCATAATATAGCGTTGTCATTAAATAATGAATGAAGTTAGACTAGATCCATTATTATTGGATAATTTCAGCGTTGTTCATGCTCATCAAAATCACAAACTAGCGTGGTTCCTCTTCAAGTCTTTCTATTCACGATTTCACGAATCGCATTATTTGCGTTTTCCGTACCTGGAATCCAATCAAAGGCTGATTTATTTGTTTTGACGGCTAAGCTTTAATTAAAGGAGTGATAAATTACGATGATATCATCGTAGAGGCAACATCGTCGAATGAATTTAACAGGAACTTTTACAATTGTTTGTTGAGGTAATTGTTATAAAACAGTAATAAAAACACCTTTGATTAAATGATAGATTTCGGTGTTAACACAACTTAAACATTCAAGGACACAACCCGGCATAATATGCGAGCTACGACATATCTCGATAGTGTAGAGATAATATTTCAGCATTAGGTACGTATCTACACGAGTCCTATGGTTGACATATGACTATAATCTCACAACAACATTTTAAAATTTTACAAATATTTTTTCTACGTGTTCGTAAACTGTAGATAAGATAATTAATAATATTATAGATCATAACTAAATAATTTATCAAGTTTCATCCTACGATAGTGTAATACATTAACTAATGTTGCTAAAGCAACAATATATCGCTAAACGATAAAACATAGACACACAAACAGTTTTAAGCTTGCATGTAAAGCCTCGTGTCTAGCACAGGCGTTAGCCAAAAATAATGAGGGGTGCAAACAAGCTATAGGCTTGGATAATGGAAAGTACGTCCATTGATAGCAGTACCACTAATGTCATTAATAGAATCAAAAGGCTTATTATATCTATTGTTTTTATAAGAGTTGGGAGATATATAAAAAAATTACCCATTAGCAGTGGCAGTTGCTGTAGCGGTAGCGGTCGCGGTGGCGTGGCTTCCACCATTGCCACCACAGCCTCCGCCGCAACCAGACGGTCCATAACCTCCGCCGTGGTTGTAACCATTGTTTCCATAGCCACCCCCGTTGTTAAAACCACCATAGCCACCGTCGCCGTAACCACCTCCTCCTCCACCACCACCTGTGAAATGCAATGCGTGGTACAGGAGGATGTAAACATTAGAATAGAAAATAATAGAAATACGTACAAAAAAGACAACAATAAACTTATTTTTACACATGTATAAAGTGTAAAATACAAAAATATTTGCAAAGGGAAATCACTCAGCTACGTTTAGACTAGTTCAACTCTTATATTCTGTGACGCTTTCAGAGGCCGAAGTAACGAGATAGTCTTTATCTATATTATGTATATAGGTACACACAAACAATTAGTAAATCAAATGAATACGTAAATACTACCAACTTAAGCTTTTATACTACATAGTCTATTAAATAAGTTGAGGAAAGATCGCGGAAAGATTGCGGCTAATTTATAAACGTGTTTACTTGAGAGGTCCTAAGCTAAATTACAGGTAAAAGAAAGTCTTGGTGCCTGCCCGATACTCTATTACTGTGTCCCCTTAACACAGATTTGATATTAAAAAAATGTATACCTCCATAGCCGCCGCCGAAGCCTCCCCCGCCACCACCTCCTCCGCCACCTCCGCCTCCACCACCAAAACCACCGCCGTAGCCGCCGCCGCCACCGCCGCCATATCCACCGTAATTTCCGCCATGACCGCCATAATTACCGCCGTGTCCGCCATATCCACCATGTCCTCCATAGCCTCCATGTCCATGACCTATGTATCCAATGAAAACACAATGCTATAAGACTAAATAGGCGAAGATAAATAAAACGAATTTTGTCTGATTATTATGATCCTTCGTCATTAATTTTTTGGTTTTTCATCAATATATATTCATTATATATAAATATGCAAGTAGTAATTATATATAAATATGCAAGTACTTACCATGCTCCTTAATAACTTTGACAATTACAGTTTTATGGGGCTCTTGGTAACCGCCACCGTGCCCCCCGTAGCCACCGTCATAGCCTCCGCCGTAGCCACCTCCATACCCTCCGCCAAAGCCGCCTCCCCAACCAAGACCTCCCCCTATAGACAATCCACCCCCATGACCAAGTAGTAGCTTACCTAAAGTCCTTTTTTGTCTATTTGACCGTGTTGGCTGAACTTGATCTTGCAATTTCTATTAATTAAAAATATATTTCGTTTATTTATAGCCTTCCAAATATAATTTGTCACAAAGCTTCAAATTAAATTTAAAAGTTTTCAAATATATCCAAATATAAATACTAATATTTCAAAGCAATAGTTGGATGTTATAAATAAATTCCTAATAAAAATATTACTTATTTATTTTCACTAGTCTTCGCATATTTTGATTAATATTTTCACTATAATTATTATTTTGTATCAAATAAAAGTAAAAAAAAAAAACAAAACTAACCTGAACATAAATAGGTTGCGGATTAACATTCAGGGATTTAGCTTCAGGCTCCCTCAGTTTCTCCGGGGGGGGGTTTTGCTGAGCCAGAAGAACTAAAATCGGGAACTGCCTCGCCCGGTCCGTCACGTGGGTGCGGGAATCCCTCGGTGGTGCAAGAACCGGGGCAACTAACACAACCCTATCCCCACCTTCAAGGGCATTGTCGTTCACAGATGCGCAGGCGCAGCTAGCCAGCGCCAGCAAACTCACTACACCACGGAGTCCCATCGCGGTCACTGACAAAGGTTTCGTCCGAGCGACCTATTTATATGTACAAAGTTTTTCATGCCTACGCGTTACTACGTCACCGTCTTAGCAGGACATCGAGATTCCCACGTTACGCTCTCGTTATTGGAATGGTAACAATGGAGTTCTAGACTTAAGGGTTTTACGGTTCATTTGTAAACAATGATGGAAAATATTTTATTCCGTACATGATCGCGATTATCGTTCAATTATCGTATTATCTCTGACGTTTCATAAAAACGAAATACGAGTTTTACATCACTAAATTTCATATATGACGTAAGAGAAATACTCCTTCGATTCGACTATTAAAAACTAGAATTTACCATTCTCTCATTGAAATGTCATTGCTGTATATTTCCTTCAGTAATTTCTATAATACGTCCGACTGCCTCTGTAGTTCAGTGCCTAAAGGCTTTGAACTCAAAAGCTTCACGTCCCCTCGATAGAACACAATATAATTCAGTGGCACAGGACACAAAAGTAAGATCACTACTTGCCTATCGTGGAAATGTTATTTCAGGAACTGTTACCATGTCTGACGGACAACTAAAACAGATTAAACTATATAATAATAAAAAGTCTGCAACACATTAAAAGTAAGGTATTTTATCAATAAATTAACGCTTTTACTTATATTAATACGGTTTGTTTTAGTTTAATTTCGGATAAGATGGCGATGGGTCTTTTCACGAACTTAATAAGTTTTTTTTAATAGTTGCAACATTATGTAATTTTTTTGTAATATTAGTTTCAAATCAGTATTATAATAATATGTCATATATATTGTATAATTGTGTAGTTCATTAAAATTGGAAAAAATGTTAAAACCCATATTTTTAACATACTACAACATAGCGCGCTACAAAGATGATCTATGTAAATGTTTGATGACTTACCTGTTGGCCTATTTGCAAAGTCGCTACACGTATTGGACATTCCCTTAAACCGGACGCACATCTTTGCTACAACATAGCGAGCGATGCTTAAGGCTTTTAGGGGTCAGTGGCTAAAGCATAAAACCGGGATCCCGTTTCGTTCACGTAGTCTGTATCTTATAAACACTTATAGGTAACTAAAGTGAAGTCCCGTTCCCCTGTGGGGCATGGGGCGAACACAACAAATAGTTCATTAGACCTCTGCGCCCAGCCCCCATCGAAACAATTGACGGTTTGGTATTCCAGCCGCTTAAAGTTATGCTAGCTAACATGTTTAATCACTTAGATATGAAGGCGGTGACAGTTATAGGTACAGAGTTAACAGTCGATGTTTTTTGTGCTGCCAATACTATGAATATATAATTTAAGAGAGAATACAACGTGGAGATGTTTTATTTAAATATGTACCACTCGCGTAAACTACAGACAGTGTTTATAACGCCATATATATTAGTTAACCTTATTTGAAAATAATTTTTAACTACGGCCCGACGTTTCGGATGTTTTACAACAGCCGTGGTTCCGGGGAGTCTTAAAAATAATTGTCAAATAAGTTTACCTAATATATATCGCGTTTTAAACCGTTAAAGGGTTTTATTTAAATGTGTACTAATCGCTTTACCATTAATACTGATACGGAACCCTGCAAACCTGAGTACGATTTGCACTTGGCGATTTTTTTTCGTTTTGTAAGATTATGGGATAGTGCTCAACACAAAGAACTTACAGGCTACAAACGAGTTTGCTAAATGTTTCAATAAAAGGCGTTGAACCGAATTTGTACAACGAATAATGTTTAACAGTTTATATTAACGTTAAAAAATAAAAATAAAATATACTTTATTTTATTTAAAATTTTAAAAAATATTTCGATTAAGGTTCGACAAAAAAAGAAAAATGAAAAAAGTCTGTCTGTCTGTCTACTGTGGTTCTACAGAGTGTTCCAAAGAGCAATATGACTCAGAAGAACACCCAAGAAACTTGGTCCGGCTTTTTCAACATGTCTTATAAACTAATACATTTTTGTGAATTTATTAACCTAAGGAGCAATTCATAAGCCAGGCAGCCTTGTTATTAAAGAAATCGTTCAAACAATACGACTTTGGAGATAATCAAACTTACATTGCCTTTTGAGACTTATTTATTGATAAATTTGCAACCGTTTTTTGTAGATACGAATGCAATTCCCCGCAAACGAATTAATTATTTTATGGAACCTTTATTTGGGGATATTTCTTATTCATATAACAATGAATGTAATATAAACATATTTAGCAATTAATTACCTAACAATATTACCACAGACATTCAAAATGATATCATAAACAGGTAAATAATAACACGTTCTTCCATGTTCTTCCGTACACACAACGACGATTATCTAATTATTATACGCTTTGTGATTAACTGGAAAATCCGATTCCATCTTGGAAAAGGTATTTTACGTCTTCGCAAAACTTGATAACGAGTTTTATAATAGTCTAGTATCAGTTATGGTATATTTTTTAGTGCAAACAAAAACATACAAGAGATGAAAAATATATGATTTAAAATATAAATTCTTCATTTAACGATAAACATTAAATTAATTTCTTATTGTTAGGGATTCAACAACAATAACGCGTGGATACAATTAATTTAATTTACTTAAGTTTAAAACCTGTTTTACATGTATACCAAGGGAACGACTTCTTTATTAATAATGCTTGCTTATGGAACTATTCATTGTTCTGCCTCTTCATGATAATATCCTCAATACCCACAGATATTAAGACCAAAACAAATCAATGGTTATCTGTGGTTTATATGCTATATTTTTATGCTGTGCTAGATACATAATAAATTAATAACAGATTAAAAAAACAAAAGCTTTATTATCTGCATTTTCTCAAAATTATTCGCGATAAAATTACAAATCAGAAATCCAATACAATTATATATACTATGTTCCTTTTGTCCAAACTCGTCAAAGTATACAAGTCGAGTTAAATAATGTCATTTAATATTCTCAGTATGTTAATTAGTGCATCATTGTTTAAGTGTTTTTAAAGTCTTGAATACAATTAGCGGCGATAACCATAAATAATACAAATTGTGCAATTAGCCATTCAAACTACAATATAATATGTATATGTTTACAATAATATCACGACATACATTAATGTGAAAACATTTACCTAATTATTGTTTCAGCATAGACAGGTAAGAAATTTTATGCTGAAACAAGGAAGTTTGATAATGAAAGAAAAGCACTTTTTAACGGTATAAAACGCGAAATATATTTTAAATATGACCCGACGTTTTAGATGCTTTGCAGCACGTGATCGAGGGAGACTGAAATAGACACGATACGAATGATAAAGTTAGTAATATCCATGTTTTTGTTTCATACGTGTTACAAAAGTAGAGTTTACATTATTTTCTCCAGAAAAAATCTAGTTCTCCAAAGCAGGAGATTAACAGCTAAGCTATAGAGGCGGCAAGTGTCGGATATTTTATATGAATATTTGGTTGTAATTAACTGATTGATTCAAATATTTGCGATGTTATCATCTCTGCTTCAATCTTAACTAGGATTTTAAAATTGCCTCGCTTACTCCTTGTATTCTTCCAATTTCTGTAAAAAATAGTTTTATTATTTGTTAGATATTTTAAACAATATGTATCTGTAAATACATATTGTATACCTATAAATACATTTCTCTTACGTTCTCACCAAGGCAAGCGTACATTAGTTTCTATTTTAAATATACTTGAATCACTTTTAACGGTTTATAATGGCACACCTAAGGGTTTAATTATTTTTAAGTTGTCACGTGTTTTAAACTATTAAAAGTATTTTTTTAATACACACTACTTGCAAAACCTTATTACTGGCATCACTGCTATAAATCTGTTGAATTAAAAACGGCACATCATTTTAAATGTACGATTGAAATAAGGAGACAAACATGCTTGGCTTAACAAAGTATTACTATGCATAATCCCCCCATGACCATGGCTGCTGAAAAGCCGAGGCGTAGTTAAAACTTGAAAATAAGTAAACGTAAAGTATTCCGTGTTTTAAACCGTCAAAAGGGTTTTATTTATGTGGTCTGCTCGCGTAAACTACAGTGCTTTAAAAAGTATTGTAATAGCTACTTATATCGTCGTTATGTTGAAGTGTTTCTTATTGTACTTACTTTAACGCGATAGATAGTTTGAGGATTCCCCTTCTGTTCGGTATTTATTGCTGTGTTTCCACGTACATCTGATAATAATCGAAGAACGGAAAAATCTTTAGCAGTTTCCGCAATGTTACTTCGGGTATAACGAGGTGCTAGTACTGGAGATATGAACACCACGCGATCTCTCAAATTACCAAACTCAGTGGCTCCTATGCATATAAGTGAAATAAATAATAGTAAAAACCTCATCTTGAATGAAGAAGTTTTTGTACGAACCTTTATTTATATGACTGGGTACGTCTGAGATATCACGACTCGATTCTTCCGACTTGTAACGTGTCCTTAGTTCATCTTAGATCATGATTTCGGAATATTTATTGTTCATAAGATTCTACACATCAGAAAAAACCTTGTAACATATAAATATAACACTTCAACGGTTTAAAACGCCATATCAACGGTTTGAAAGTGTTTTATATAAAAAATTTAAGACTTAAAAAAGATAAATATGTCAGTATAAACAGACATACTGTCTGTTGACTTGACTTGTTTCATTTTGTTAACTTCTATATTACATTGTGTAAACCACGATTTGAACTAAGGACCTCTCGCTTAAAGTATTGCTAGGTGTTGCATTTTCCATTGGACCATAGAGGTGGGTGAGATATAAATGTATTATTCCATTAATTACGAGTATAGGCTTCGCCATGCCTTAGCTAAGCAATTAAGAAAGATTTACTGAGATTCGAACCCAGGAGCTCTCACGCTAAACGTAATGCCAGATCGTTTAACTATTGAAACACAGAGTTGGTCGGTATTATGCATTTTTTATTATGTTAAGCTGTTAGCTGGTGCCCGCGACTTCGTCTACGCAGGCTTAGGATTACGATTACGTATTATCGCGCATTTAAACTAAATGATGTCTATCATATCATACATTACATAATTATGTGTAACTAACGTTTATGGTAGCGCACGCCAGAATAGCTCGCAGAAAGGTTTTTTCCTAGTTATTTGACACTTAATGTCCTATTTTGGACAGCTCACACAATATCTTTATAAATTGTAGCCTATGTGTTATTCTGCTGTATAAGCTATATTATTGGATAGTTTATTTGAAATCCATTCAGTAGTTTTTGCGTGAAAGAGTATCAAACATCCATCCACACATACAAACTTTCACGTTTATGATATTAGTAGGATAATTCTATTACAAAACGTGTATCAATATTTCATTTAAATATAATTTAACCTTGAAAATGACCGGCCAATTTTGCATATACATTATGATGCAAAAAGATGTGCAAGAGTATTTATAGTTTATTTTGTAAAATATTTATCGTTTTTGCCTCAAAATTGTTTATTGAAGGACTGTAGACGTTTTATTACAGACATTTGAAACAACAATGAAATAAAATACAAAAATGTGGTAATCACTTATAATGACGCTTAATTTATAGTCTTTTATTATTTTAAATGGTATTGGATTACTGCATTTTCTAAAAAAAAATTAAACGATTTGCAAAAAGTAAGAGAAATCATGTGTAGAATGCTTTATATATCTCTATAACAAGATCCTTCAATGAACTGGGTATGTATAAATATATAGAAATTCTAAAGCTTGAATATAAAACACAAGTAAACAACCTTTACATAACTCCTTTGTTACTATACTATAACTTCCCTTTTACACTACACTGTATCATTTGAGTCCAACTAAAAACATCCATATCGATCTTCTCTTGTTTCAATCTGCTCTTGTCTCCTGAACTACAAATGTCCTCATATTCTCAACAGCTGTAGGTTCCATCGTCGCAAGTTCGTCCCAATCTCTCAACTCACCACCAATTTGAATTAACGCTGGTGGTATAAGTTCTAATGGTGGCACAGGCAAAGTGGTCTCAAATATTGACCTCTTCAAAACTGCTGTCGCTTCAATAAGATCTGATGTAAACAATTCTTCATTGTTGTTCCTAACCACATCTTGATATAGAGATGGTTCGTCCGTTATCATATCCAGTTCTTCTCTCCTTGTCGGTTGTGCAATAATATTCTCTGTCGTGATGTCGACTGGTGGCTCAGTCTTCTCCAGTGCATTGTCAACATCTTCTGTACCTTCCAAGTCTCTGATGACTGGTGTAGGGTGTACGGCAAAATGGGCTTGCAATGCAATAGTTTGATTAGGTTTTATATTTACAGCAAACACGAGGCAAGTGGTTGAATAAATCAAATATAAACAGAGGAGCTTAACCATTTTCCTTAACAGCAAAACACGAAAGATCAGTAGGATTGTCACAGATGGAATGGCCACGTTTTTAATTAAAATCTTGACATTATAAAACATATATCCAGTTTACCGTGAATAAATCTTTGCATATTCATTCGAACGTCAAACTAATGCAGTTACATTGTTTTATATTTCGTTATTAGGGGGAAATGCTAATTGTTAAAGACCAGAAGCTAAAACCGAGCATAAATAACTGTTTTGGTCGAACAGGACAATAATTTCTACTTTATTTATTTCCATTGTCCTTATACATTTAATCAAACACACAAATGAAATACAATAGAGAATATTAAATGCTTACAAGTTATTTAAAATCCTTTTAAGCGATTATATTCGTTTATTAAAACTTATAAAAAATATGACCTTTGACGGTGCTAACTGCTTTAAAGAAACCAGTTTTATATAATAATAACTTGCTTATACAAATACAAGATTTGTAAAAGTTTAAAATGCATTTATATGCAAAATTTCAATTTATATACTCATATAAACGTTCTACTCTTTGAATTCTTAAAATTTCAAAGAGAAAATAGCTTTATTATATGTTTTAAATTAAATACGAATTGCTTGCTTGTTGTTGTTGATGTGAAGTGTTAAACAGGCTTTCCATATACAAACGGATTTTGCTTATTTACTTTATTGAGAAAGATGGGCCCCCACTCTTGCCTTCATCGAAGGTGGACTATAAATATCTCAAGACAAAAGAGGTCGACAATCAAGTGTACTGTCCTTTTCTATCATAAAAAAACTACCTCAGCGCATAAACATTAAAATAACACTCAATGTCGACCTATTTGAATATCAGCAAATGGAAGCATAATACAAGCTTTATGAAAAGACAAAACAATTATATTGATAAATCTTGACATAAATACTCTCTGTAGTTTACGCGAGTAGTACACATTAAAATAAAATACACATTGAATACGAGATATATATTAGTTAAACTTATATGAAAATTATAACTAGGACACGACGTTTCGGAAGCTGCAGCAGCCGTGGTCACGAGGAGACCATTTAAACTAACTGTGAACATCAAGTTTTAAACCGTTAAAGTGTTGTTTTTAATCGTGACGCAACTATTTTACAAGTGTAAGTACTTCCTAGGTACCTTCAGACAAAACCAGAACCAGACCAACCAGAAGTAATAATTATATTGGCGAGTGAGTTAAGGGTCATTTGTAATCTGGTCCATGTCTGGGACATTTTCGTGAGTCATGGGCAAGACCAGTAGGGTTAGCATGCGCGCTCCGATATATCTCTCTCGTTAGAGAAAGAATATTTTACCGAAATATTTAAATTCAACAAAATATATGTTTATATGTGTAGGTATTTATCTTAGAAAAATGAAAACAATGATACTTTTACCATCTCACTTGTTTGTATACATTTAATAAATTCCGATTATAACAAAATGCACAGGAATCGAACCCACGTCCTACAGGGTACCAATTATACCTCTAATATAACTATAAAGTCTTAAACATGTGTAAATTGTAAAGATTCCGTCCACAATTAGCGGCCTTGAACAATAGAAAAAATATAATTTGCATGCTAAGCCAGCATGCAAAGATGTGTGATCACGAAAAATAATACCAACATGACATCGCTATTGTCCAAATGTCATATTACAAAGGCTACTATCAAAGCCTTGATAAAGGTGATCACACATCTACTATTATACCTGAAAGAAATATAAAATAATGGAAGATTTTAATTTAACGTCAGTATTGTCATATTAAATTCTTCGCTTAAGGCTCGAAGGTCGTATATCTCCGTTTCTCCATGCGGGGCAATGGATATACATACTTTTATGTCAGTTTTAGTGATTTGCCTTAGTTACAGAAAATGAATGATCAGACTTCTGTCCTCTGCTAAATTAAAACAATTTACTATTTTCAGTGGTTTAGAACCCAACATCTGTCGTGCTTATCGCAACACGTTTAACTAATAAACTACAGAGGCAATCACAAATAAGACTTTAATTAAATATCAACATCTATGACAAGGAGTTATAATTAAAATACCGCAAATAAATTCTAAACTGATTATAACAACATTATCCTTGAAATTATGATCTGTTATTCTATATCTTGCTGTGGTATCTTTATCTTCAACCACAAGAAAACGTTCTGTAGTTTACGCAAGTAGTACACATTAAAATAAAACACTTGTAACTGTTTAAAACTCGAAAAATATGAGTCAACTCACTTACAAATTATTCTAATTACAACACCACGTTTGTGATGGGTGCATTGGTCACATCACGTTTTAAACCGTTATAAGTGTTTAATTTAAACCAATTGAATGGTTCATTAAAGATATATGTCTCTACGTTTATAAACTAAATCTATTATAATAATCTTACGAAAAACGAGCGTTGCATAAAGTATAGCGCCTGATAAAAATATATAGCAAAAACGTAGTAAAATTATTTAAATGTTGTTTTCATTTAGTTGCACGAGATACATTTTTGTCTGTTGAACTGATCCCTTGTATACATATACAGGCTTGATCAGATTTCTGTGTTCTGCCTAGCCGAAACTATAGTTTTTCGCAGGATTCAACTTTTAGACCTCTCACGTTTAATGCTGTACAAGGCTTTACCATTGCGCCAGGAGGCTATTATATTATAAAAAGATCGGACGTACTCTATAATCTTTATATAAAATATATTGCCTGATAAAAAATTATAGCAATGATGTATTCAGATAAATACAAGAAAAGAGGAAACATAGGTACTATTTACTATGAACATTGCAAGGACCGAAATATATTTCATAATATTTGTATATAATATAACACTTTAAAGGGCTTAGGACGGGAAATAATATAGTTAACTTATATACAATTTGCTTTACCTGGACCGACGTTTCCAAAGCTTTGCAGCAGCAGCGATATATATATATTGCGCGTTTTAAACTGATAAAGTGTTTTATTTAAAAAGAAATCTGTTGCAAGATCTGTTATTGACATATTAGTTTAATATTGTTATTTAATATTTACTTTCTCAATTTAATAATTCTCATACAGTCCAGATACTACAAGTCTAACAATCTGAAACATTAACTTGATATTACAATATTATCCTGTTTAAGTTTACAATAACTATTACTTATTGATCTGCCTTTAGTCTTGAGTAAGGAAACTTATTTTGTGTTAAATCCCCTGTATTCTAATATAAATAGATTTTTAATTTACGCCATGTGAAAAAAGTAGTAAAAATTTCAAATTCGCATATGTATATTTCAATTACGTCTCTTACTAATAAAATGCAACAAAAATACTATTGTTTAAATATTTGAAACACAAAATTGAATTAAATAATATATTGCCGTAATCATCATATGTGTAAATTGTATTACAAATTCAATTATATTTTTCAGTATGAGCATTTCGGCTTGTACGTGTTTGTGTGACATGGCAAACTTTCTTGCGGCACCGTACTCCGTCGTAATTGTTTAAGCAAAGTATGCTTCTATTTTGCATAAGATTTAAAGTATTGTAACTAATACATTTTAGAATTAGTTATCTACCCTCAGTAGTTACTAGAGCTTATACTTAATATTGTTGAATAAAAAAAAACATATAAATGATGTGAACACAGTTCTGAATTATTTCTGATTATATATTCTTGGTCAACATTAATGTATATCAACTCATTTAAGGCTAATCTAGGATAAGTTCAATGTACACTAGGTTAAGTCTAATGTAAGCCATTTTGAAATAAAGAATTTTAAAAATCAAAAATCAAATTATATTTTTATTTTCCGGACAATCCTCTGTTTCACGACAGCGTTATAATGAACTAATAATATTGACACTACATAGTACCAAACAAATAGGCTGTTGCTGTCCCTATGAACGCTTAAATCTTTGAAAACGGAATTTGATGTTATTTTTATAGATAGAGTGATTCAGGAGAAAAAAATTTAAACACAACTTTTCTGTAGTGTATTTAGTATTAGCATTGCACCCGAGCGAAGCCGAGGCGGGTATCTAGTAATTTATAATTTAGACATATTTATTCTTATAAATAATATATACAGTAAGAAATACCTTACCGGAAAGGTATAAAACCGGCGCGCCGCTCCGACGCGGGGGTATTGGACGGTCATTCTTCGAGGGGACATCGTTCAAAGACTCTAAGTGTCCGTGTCTAAGTGGGTAGATTTGAAATAACTGCGGTTTGTTTTATTTTATTATTTTGTTTTTATCAAATTACCTAAATATACGTATTTCTTTTCATTCAAAAATCTTTGCAACAATGTTATGTGTATCTCACAAGAAGTCAAAATTATGAAACTGAAATATATTCCAACGTTACCTTAATGCTGTTTAAACCACTGTTTTAAAGTTAGTTGTCGTAAAAGTTGCATAAGATTAGTTCAAGAATCGTTCAAATTTCGTCATATGATATAAACTAGTTTGTGCGTACAGGTTTGTTTATTAAATTGTATATTATTATATAACTATATAGTGCCTTGTTACTAGCTTCAGCTTAGTTTAATTTAAAACAATGCACCATACTTTTATTAAGCTAAAAAAAATGCTTAAACTTCAGTAAAACTTTGTTATTACAGACGAAGTATTTTAATAATGACGAAGACAGTTTCGAATAAAAATGGACGTTACTAAGCAACGTATAACCTAATATTTACTCGGCGATTATTAAATTACAATTGAAAACACTTATATTACTCTAATTAGATACTAAAACTGCTAAAAAGTCATCTCTACTTCGTTGTGAAGGTTTGAACGCTGCTGCCCCGACTTTACTTCTCCCGGTGAAGTTAGGGAAAGGAAAGTTGGGTGCTCCCCGATGTCTCGCGTCCAGGATATTGTCTCCAAAGAAAGGCTGAAAGTATTTATCTTTTCGTTATGTTGTTATAAATGGTTTCACTGATATTGCAGTAGCATACAGATAAAATATGTTTCAGAGTATCTTATAATTTCTTGTTGTTATTTAATAAGGGACACATTTTATGGTAGAGGAGGACAGACAAGCAAACTTGATACAAGTTGAAACGCCTCAGCCACACAACATCTGCGCAAGATGCGCTGTTGATTTATTTTGGCTTTGAATATTCGAAACGCACAGAATGTAACCAAAACGCAATTAGACGCAGATTTATCACTTCGGAAGGGTGGTTTGAGACCCGGACGGAATCTCGGTAAATACTGTCTATAGTTTACGCGAGTAGTACACATTTAAATAAAACACTTTAACGGTTTAAAACGCGATATAATAGTTAAACTTATTTGAAAATGATTTTAAACTTCGGCCCGACGTTTCGGATGCTTTGCAGCAGCAGCATCCGAAACGTCGGGCCGACTCCCCGTGACCATCGAACTCGCGACCGGTTGATTATCATCGCATACATTGCTAGCATTAGAGACGATGAGCCTGTCAATGTAAGTATTCGATACGTCGGGTTTTAGTTCAAAATCTATTAATACGACTTGAGTTAGGGACCGCTGAAAAATGATTTGTATAAACTGACAGTAGATAGTCAAACTCACCTCAGACTGAAAAGCGTTTATAGAATTAAATCCAAAAGCGGAAGAGGCGCTTTGACTGGCGCTTCCGAATCCTCCACCAAGAGAGGAAGCAGATGATGCTGCACCAGACACTGACCCGCCTGCGCCGCTGAAAGATGCTGCTTGGCTACTGGCTTGGCTTCCGCTGAAGCCGCTGAAACATTTTTTAATGAAATTATTAATGTCTCATCAATTAAAGTTTATAATAATCCTAATTTGTACTGTGATACCAAAAAGAAAATAATTTTTCTTTAGGAAATGTAAGAAAGAATCGTAAACTAAGCAGAATGAGATAATAAACGAATAAATATTTTAATCTTTAGAAGAAAGTAATATCTAAATTAGAAATCTATTGCAGATAGAAAATACGGCAAGGACAGGCTTGAACCGGCATCCGTGCTGTTGTTCTGCATGCCGGTTCAAGTCCTGCCCGTGCCTTATTTTTTTTTCACATTTTCACATGTCATGTGCAATAACATGTGAAAAGTATCAAAGTTTTCAAACAAAAGTAATACCTTCCAAAGCCATTAAACGACGACGATTGACTAGCCGACTGCGACGCACTAAAACCCTCGTTGAAGCCAAATGAAAACGACTGTGATGCAGACTGACTCAAACCAGCGCCACTTGCACTGCTGCTCACGCTTGCTGTCAAACCATTTCCAGATGGCTTCACATTAAAACCGCCACCAAATCCAAATCTCGGGTTCACTGGACGTTTACTCGCTCTGTCACTTAATAACAAAGTACTTGGATCCCGTTCCAAGTGCTCCAGAACTGGTAAAACCGGTGGGGTTATGATCGGTTCTAACTTCTTCTCGCGACGTTCGTCCGGAAACACAAATCCGCTCGCTGGTGCTGAACGGACGAAACCATTCATCATCACGAGGCACAGACATGCGCATATAATCCTCATGGTTGGTCCAGTGTATACTATGGTCGTTGGAAGAGGTTTCTTGTATTAATAGGGTCGTGCGAGGTCAGACGATGTTGGCATGCGGCTCGTGCCGCAGCCTTCAGAAAACCCACTGCGCTACGCCTTGCGCCGGGCGTCCTGGCTGCTTATCCCCACTTCGTATGTGTCACCTATAACTCTTAACTGCTATCCTTTTACAGATAACGGTTGTATTGTCTGAGATCTGAACCGGAAAACTGATGATCACAAAATTGGGAAATCCAATGGCCCAGTTCGTGGATTACGCAATTGCATACCTCTACCGATTTCGTATGGTGCTTTTGACACTTTACTGTTTAAAATTGTCTTGGCGAATATAATTTAAAAGTATGACTGACCTATTAGAACTAAAACAATCTTATACTAATGTGTCGATTTCACGTGAAATTTTGAAGCCATTAAAATTCGAGTTTGAATAACCTTTAGCAGGAACAGAACTTGTTATTAGTTGACTAGACTTATCGACATTAGCATATATTTGATTCTAAGACAATCTTTTAAAATTTATATATCTATACTAATATATAAAGCTGAAGGGATTGTTTGTTTGAACACGCTAATCTCAGGAACTATTCAATTATTTTTGGGTTAGTTAGAGCATTTATTGACGAAGGCTATAAGGCTAGAAAACTTCGAGCTGTGATTAATAGAAGCGAAGATATAGCAGGAAATGTGGACAAAACGGGGTAATTTTTCATATCTGTGGGTTTATGATGCGTACGCTGCAATAACGTTTTAAGACACCCAAAAAATATGTATAGAGGAATGATTCCTCTTTAAATAATCTGAATAAATGTCCGCGACACTTTATGCCTATCTTTTAAGATTAACTTGCAAGAACGACGGGACCCGAACGACGGGTCGCGAGCGACGGGACGCGACCGATGTCGTGGGCAGCTTAAATTTTTAAAGATGTAGAGGTTTGCAAATACAAATTTGGATGCTCAAAACAACTATTCTACGCGGACGAAGTCGCTGCCACAGCTAGTCTTGTCTATAATCCTATACATAAAAAAATCTAATTGTGTCCTTACACAGAATGTATTAGTACGGCAATATTAATCTTACTTAACTTAGTAATAAAATATGTATGTATGTAATATTTCTTATAATACTTTCTAGACCTAGTCGACAAGATTAATATTATTTTGAAAGACGCTACTGAAAAACTACTGGGCAAAGGTAATGCCAATCCTATTTTAAGTGGTGTAAATTAGTGTTAACGAGCGACAAAACCGATATTCTTCGGCTGTTAAATGTAAATCTGCAATGTCAAGTGGATTACTCAACAGATAAGTAACGCGTAGTAGGGCTGCTTGCGCTAATATTATATAACAAACTGTGCCAGCGACTTCGTCCGCGTAGAATAGTTATTTTGGCCATCGAAACTTTGTTTTTGCAAACCTCCATATCATCTTTATCAATTATAGCTGTGCCACGACGTCAGTCGTGTCCCGTGTTCTTGCAAGATAGAAATATAGGTACTGTTGAGGAAAATTTTTAAAATCATATAAAGAGGTTATATAAAACACTTTAACGGTTTAAAACGCGATATATTAGTTAAACTAATTTGAAAATGATTTTTAACTTCGGCCCGACGTTTCGGATGCTTTGCAGCAGCCGTGGTCACGGGGAGACCGACCACGGGTGCTGCAAAGCATCCGAAAAAGTAGAGTTTTTTTTTAAATATGTACTACTCGCGTAAACTATAGATAGTATTTTTTATACATATTTTTCGGTTTCTTGAACCGTTTTCGCAGCGACGCAACGGTTGCCCTCAAAGATGATTAATTTTCCACGATTTTTTCTACATTTCCTACTGTTTCTTTGCTCCTGTTTGTCGCAGCGTGATGTTATGTAGCCTAAATACTTTTGCCGATAGTAGCGTTAAGCAAAACCAAAAAAAAAATCAAACCAACAAATAATTTAAATACAGTCTGTCGTTTACGCAACAAATACATTTTCAATTCGAGCCGCTAGTTCCTGATATTTGCGCGTTCAAACAAACAAACTTTTCAGCTTTACAATATTAGTATAGAGTTTACGCGAGTAGTACACATTCAAATAAAACATTTTTAAACTAAACGCAATAAATATGTATACTTACTTATCGCGGTTTTAGACCATTTGGTAAAAAAAATAATTGCATTCGAACCAGATAAGTATAACGTTGTACATTTTTGATATACATATTTAAATATTCAGGGAAACCTTCAGAATTTCTTTAATATTATTGATATAAAAATACTGTGATATATGTGGTAAAATGCCATATATTTTTTGCGCTATTGTCTAATAAATTCAAGATTAGGTTTAATATTTTTTATCGATTACAAAAAAGTGCACAACACTATTTAAAAAATTGCTTGTTTAATTATACGTAAGAAATATCGCAACCGAAGATAAAGTGGCCATACTACCATAGTGTAGTGCCAGCCCTAACGGTTACAGAAGCAGTTCAAGTTCGATCCGGGGTCACACGTCCTGAGTCACGGTCGCTGGTGACATGTCAGCGTATCACATATTGGTTTATCATCGATGAAGTAAAGGTAGTTTTACGTACTAGATTGGGCGCATTGCATTGTATTAAGGTATTTATTTCGACAGGCTGGTTGGTTTAATGGTAGCAATGAATGGTGATCAGTGGGTCGTGGATTCGATCCCCAATGGGTCCGACATGTTTCTAATTAAATACTGTCTATAGTTAAATCATTTCCAAAATTAGTTAAACTAATATATCGCGTTTTAAACCGTTAAAGTGTTTTATTTAAATGTTTCTAATTTTTAAATTTTTCTGAAAGAAACTTCGACTGGAAATCTGGATATTAAGTGGGTGGTAGGAATATCGCAATTTTGGCCGGGTCACGAACCACGATCCACAGATGAAAAGCTGGGGTATTTTACCCCCCATCAAGTGTCCTCCCCCTATATTAAAATACATATACTAAGATAAAAAAAAATGTTTATTCATGAAAATACTAAATAAAAATTACATTAGTTTTTGAATTGTTTTACAAAATGTGAGTGTCATAAGAGAAATTACTAAACCCCATCTGTAGCTAAATGGGTAAACGTGTTGCCTTGTATTGCGATAAGTTTTGGATTCGAATCCTGGGGAAACAATAAATTGTTTCGGTCAGGTAGGGCACAGAAATCTGATCAACTACTGGTCTGTAAATGAAACAGATTAGTGAAATTGATAAAGAAATTTGTTCGCACCATGCCCCATGGGAACAGGAAAAAAAGCAGGTATATATATATACTTATTATAAATATTGCAATAACCTTTTACAAGTATGTAGGGGAAAAATCTCAAAACAATTGATTACCTATTTCAAATTTTAATAGAATTTTATATATAATAATTTATGCTTTCGAATTTAGAGAATGGGTACTAGGGCTTCCGTTGCCAGGAACAGCCCAGGGCGTCTATACATTAAAAATTTCTTGGAATGAAGCTCAAAATAATTTACTAATCTTTTATTAACTATTAAAGAATTATTTTTGCGCTGAGATTGCTATTCCACCAATATTTATCCATTTCGATCAATCCATTTGACGGTACAAAATTACATCATCTTGGTTGTTACCAAATTATATTTGACAAAGTCTAAAGTCAGATATAGGTAGTATGTTTTAGAAGCATGGCTATATTTTTAAAATGCATTTAATGAATCCTATTTATGACTCCCAAGTCACGAATCGTATACACTCTGTTATGTGATCTCAAAAGTGTTGGACGTTTTCCTTGTGTTTCATATTTTGCATTATAACCGGTAAGTGTGTTTTATTTTCCTCGTTCACGAATTTCTTACAAAGTCATCTTACACTCGTAAAGTTGTTTACATCTACTGGTTACGTAAAGACATACATTTTAGCTATCAAGTGTCTATCTAAATAAAGTATTTAATTCAACAAATAATAAAACTGGTTCAAGTCGAAAACAGTGACTAGGTAAACGAAAAATTTTCACCTTTGAAAACTTTAATATTTTTCACTATATTTGTATTGTATTGTATGCTCATGATAGCGCTATATAAATAAACAATCAATTGTAAATAACACCGACAGCAACAGGCAACAGGTTTCCAACAGCACGGAACGCTGTGTATGCCAGTTCAACTTCTGGCCGAGTCAATTGCTTTCAAAGTATAATCGATTTTTATTTTTCACTTTGTTAGTTATTTATTCGTATTTTGTTTCATTCAATGCTTTAAAGTATATAATTGAGTTATGTGAGCTTAATTATTTTATTTGTTGTAAAAGCAGAGAAATAAACAATTTGGTAAAATTTTAACTCTGTAGCGAGTCTAGTGACAGGCAGTCTCACAGACAAAAACTCATATATTAGTGACAGGAGTTTGTTATTGCCAATAATTGTAATTATTGGCCAGCTGTGGTAACTGTTAGTAAACCTTATAAGTACATAACATTTTTTAAGCACTTACTATTTAAGATAAAGGAGGACAGAGTGGTCACATATCTCAGCCATCTCCACGAGTTGCATTGTCTACCTATTTTGTCTTTGGATATTCGGAAATGGACAGCCTGAAACCGAAATAAGATTAAACTTCACGACTTTTTCATCTGTGGACGGTGGTTCAAGACCGGGACGAAATTTCAATATTCCATACCATCCATTTCTAAGACGACGTCCAACATGTTACAGAAAAATAAGATTTTAAAAAAAAATTGATTCCGGTAGGGATCGAACTCACGCCCCTTCGATTGTTCGCCATTCATTAAACCAAAGAGCCTATCAACTTAATATCCCACTGGTGTTGAGTAACAGGAAAAGTCATCGTTTATAAACAAGATATTTATTCAAGAACTGGTTAGCGCCGAGGGTTTGTGCTCATATATGGTATTTACTTTATTGTATATGTATTTATTATGCAAATTGCTTCAGCGCGCTTATGATTACTATGTTTTATCCTATACGTTTAACTGTTGGTTGCTCATCCAATAACCGCGTTCATTGTTCTATAATGACGTAAATGTTTTGAAGTCAGCAAGGCATTGCCATAATTGGGACTGCTAGAAGCAGAGTAGCCTAACTGCAATTTTATGACTCAAGTTATTATATATTTAACTGTCTAAATATTCATCTACAAGAGCACTGTGCCCGAAAATGTGTTAAGATCATTTTAGCACAAATATATAATAGTAAAAAATAATTAATTGCGCATTTATTTTCCTCCTTATTGAAAATCATGTTTTTTGTTATTAGGCCACTGTGCGTTATCATTATTTCTTTCATGCTCTACTTTACAAAACAAAATTAACCGAACTTAAATCGTCCAATCTTAAACCGACCTTTTTATTTCAACCGAATTTTCGGCACGTGTTCTATTTTCATTTTAAGCCGCATTCGACATGTAACTTACAAGCACAGCGCAATAGCATATGTCAAGTTGTCAAGTTTACTATAATATTTATTTTGTTTTTATACAAAATACAAGTTTACATTTATATACATTTCATATGGCGAATAATATGGTTGAAAGATGGTAAAAAAAAACTTTCAAAAAAGTTTTATCTTACCGTGCCATTTTGTACTCTTTTACATTTTAACATATTTTTTTTACTATACATATTTCTTTGACTCATTTATCACTTATTCAATTGTATGGTTGGGCAGAATCATAGTCGGTTAATGTCTATTTGTACTGCGATGTTAACTTCAGTTTTCAGTACACACAAGTTTTAGGTTTATCTGAACATAGTGTAATGTTGTACGAATTTAATTAAATAAAAATATAACTTAAAAAACTAAAAGAAATACATAAAATAAAAACAAAAGTTGAAAGTAAACAAACTAGAGGGACAGATTAACTAAGATTAAATTATTAATGTCTGGCGCACTAGGTTTGATTGATTTGTAAAGGCTGTCGAAAATATTATTATTAGTCACAAGTATATTATGTACGTTAGGTAGTTATCGAAATTCCGTCCGGGTAACGAACCACCATCGACCGATGAAAAAGATGTAAAGTTTAACGCGCCTTGTTTAAATGTTATATGGCGGGGGTATTTCGCCTACAATCAAGTGACACCATGCTTGTCTGTCCTGCTCTATCATATAAAAAAAAAGGAATAAAGGTACCTAATTCTTGATTTGACCTGTGTTTAATTATCACGACTATCATGGTCATTTTTTTATTATTGCACCGATTCTCAAATTACACACACATATTGTGTTTACATGTGAGTCTAGTTGTAACGACTATATTTCTGCAAACTAATTGTAAACATATAAAAACGTCTACATGTAATCTAAAAGTTCTAGAATCAAAAAGATTTCCTATATAACAAAACAAAGCCTCACTAAAACCTTTGTCACGATACAATATTTTTCTATTTAAAATTGCGATACAATATTTGAGACATAATGTTAAGTGTTTCTTAGAACCATTTGTCACACTATTTATTCAGCTTGTTATTTAAATAACACACAACACCTACATAAGTGTGTTTTAATTTCACGAATTTTCAGTTTCAGTTGAACTGTGGATTCGATAGCTTGAATTATGGCGTTATCAGGATACATTTTCGCTGTGTTAACAGTTGCTACTGTGCATGGTGAGTATTCGAATTTCAATATCACTACTAATATATAAAGCTGAAGAGTTTGTTTGTTTGAACGCGGTAATTTCAGGTACTAATGGTTCGAATTTAAAAGGTATTTCTACATGGGTTAGAGCATTTATCGGGGAAGATTCAGGCAATAAAACATTAGGCTGCGACTAATAATTTAAACAATGTCCGTGATAGTATACGTCTTTTTAGATAACCTTTTCCGAGTCGCTGGACACTATTCTATTTAGCTTAGAACCGACGTTCCCCAGTAAAGAAGGCTGTTGAAAAGCATCATAACATCAAGCCCTTGTGTCTTGAGCCAATATACCTTGCATTGAAAAGCTTTAAAAGAAATTAAAAACAAGAGTTACAGATGTAGAGAAAATGTTTATTATTACTATAATTTTTATAACTAAAAATTGTTATCTATCATAGTTCGTTTTATTTACTACCAAAAATGCGAAATCATTATTAAGGATGACGCAAGTCCCTTTTATAAATTTGCCATATTCTTGTTTTTGAAGACGTTAGTAAGGATAGTAATTGGCTTGGTGCATATGTCTTTGGGCTATATGATAATCGTAAACATACCAGGAATTCAGAAAGATGTTTAGCACCAAAATTGTCCACTCATTGATATATACATATATGCCTGTTTATATAGTATACATCTATATATAGTTATTACAATTGTACTCAGGATATTGATATGATGAATTCATATTTTAGTGACAGAGAAGAATTTAATACATTTGGACATTTGCACCACAATCTTAAATATTCGTTTATTGTACTTAAAATTAAGTATTAATTTTTATTTAAAACTTATTAACGTTGCATATATCTTTAATCTATAGTCCTTAATTTTAAGCACACTTTACACAGATGTTCATGTAATATTTTTTTTATATTTTCAGCTGTGAACCAATATCAGAATCAATATGGAAACTTCCAAAAGTAAGTTTTGCAAATATCATTAATGTTTAACATTCTCTGTAGTTTAGGCGCGGATTTAGATAAACCATCTTTGACGGTTTAAAACGTGAAATATATCAGTGAAATATGGAGATGCCCTGAAACTATAATGTCTCGTGACCACGGCGGTAAAGTCTACCATGTTTATAAAAATCTGTGAGCCCTATACTTGCTTTCCCTCCGCCGGCGTAAAAAGAAAACTTTTCTTTAATTTTACATTTGTTTAACCTTCAATATTTAGGTATAATAAATTAAAATTGTAAAATTGATTTATTTCAGCAATCACGGATTTCGGGTAAGACATATTATGTTTTTTTTTCATTTCAACACAGTTTTATTTATTTTTTCAATAAAAAAAATATTTAAAAACGTGTCTTTTATTTTCCAGCAACCGCTTTTCCCTACGATACCAATACCCAACATGCAACCGTTAGTTTTTCCAACTTTCCCAGCATTTCCCACCTTTTCCCCGCAAGATGTAATAAACAGGAACGTAGGTCCTGGTGAAAATTATAATGGCGTAGCTATTTCCTCTTCAAGTTTTTCACAAATGGGTCCAGATGGAAAAGTAATAAGAAATGGGGGAACCAAAATCATCACAAACCGAAATGGCGTTGTGGAGGAATATGACTGTAAGTTTACCCTTACATTAAAGTGACTTCCCTTGGTAGTTATTTCGTAACATAATTGGTCTAAAAAAGACAAAAACGTAATGAAAGCTTTATGATTTCGTTACAAATTAATTTATACATATCAATAAATATTTTGTTTTTACGCATTTTATATTAAAATGTAATTATTTAGTTTTTATCTTAAATTATAAGATGCCCAAGCATAAGAATTTTACATTAAACTTGGTTTGCATATTATTGTTAGATATACAGACATGCTATTTCTTTATTGTAGTGAATAAATAAGTTTGATATACTTATGAGGAAAATCTGATAAGTAAATAATTATAATTATGTTTAATATTAAGTATTTACTTTTCTCTAAATAGTATTTTGTCTTCTCTTTCAGACCCTGTATCAGCTGACTCGAAAACCAACATACGGTAATAATTGTTAAATAAAACATTTTTAACCGTTTCAAACGCGAAATATATTAGTCAAATTTTGTTTACTGTATTTTATCTACGACGCGACGTTTCGGATGCCTTCCAGCAGCCGTGGTCACGGGGGTATTTTCTAAAACTAGTTACATACTCGCGTAAATTACAGACAATGCTTGTCGTTTAGAACCAATTCCAACGAGAGGAAATTTAATATTTTGTTTTGTTTGTTTCAGATCGCCGTCGGTAAGCAACTCCTGAAAAGGCTGCATTATTTCATATTTTTGCGTTAAAAGTAGTAATTGCATGTTTATTTTAAGATAATGCATGTTTAAATAAGATGCTTTTAATAAATTGCATGATGTAATATTTATTGTCATATTATATGTATGTAGTATATATTAAAATGCTCGATTAGGTAAGCCCTTTTTAACATAAGTCTGCAACAATAAACATTAATTTTGCATGTTACCATAAAAGTCACATAGTTTTTTGTAGGAAGCGCTCCTCAAATATCTTAATTAGATATGACCAGGTCAAATTAGAATAGCTTAATAGATTAACAGTGGTATTACAAAAATACGTTTGGTGTGCCAATCTTTGCGTCTTGCTTAAGTCCATTGTACAGAGTAAAGTCTATAGTTTACGCGTGTAGTAGACGTTTGTATAAAACATTTTAACGGTTTAAAACGGGATACATATTCCTAAACTTGTTTACAATTTAATTTAACTGCGGTCCGTCATTTAGGTTGCTTTGCAGTAGCCGAGATAAAGGGGGAAGAGAATTAATTTCTTAAGACTGTCCAACTTACATTTATCGTACTTGGTTGTCCCTATTTTACTGTATATTGAATTGTATTAGTTCCTTCAGGCTGATATAAAACAACATTATTAAACGTAAAATATTTTAATTATTTGGTTGCAGTTACCCTTGCCTGTAATGATCCCTCAATTAAAGGTAAATAAAGTGAATAAGACGTGTGTAAGTGTCGTCTATAGTTCACACGGAGTACAATTAAATAATATACTTTTGACGGTTAAAAATGCGACGTATTTGTGTAAACTTATTTTAACAACGGTCTTAATTTTAACATGTTTTAAGTAAAACATGTTAAAGTCAAGTCTGCTATGCGAGCGCTACCTGTTGCGTCCTCGTATATATTAAGAAGCTAGCTGAGCGTTTTTCGGGCGTAGTTAAAACACATATTATGCCGTTTATATATAGCGCGTTTTAAACAGTTGAAAGTGATTTTATTCTAGAGAACAAATTAATATGTTTAGGATTTTATTTGCCCCGGCGCCTTCATTACGTCTTTTTTTACTTACAGCCACTAAAACTACCAGCATTGCCATTTCCAATAATAAAGGTATGTTGTTTAAATCGGATAAAAATATTCGGTACACATCGAGTTTATTAATTCAATCAATAAATTCTTATTTCAATCACAAACAAATTTGTAACAATTACATTTAATGTAAGGTGATAATTATTGATTGTTAGTTGCTTAATATTTGACTATTGCAATGCATTAAGCACGAAAAGTCCTGGGTTTGAATTTTGTAAAAAAAAAAAGATCAAGTAAAATCAATCTGTGAAATGACGTCAAAAAAGTTTTCGCCCCAAACCAACCTTTAACGATTTGTGAAGTAAGACAATTGAAAATATTATAATTAATGTAAAGTAAATATCGAAGAAAATCGGTTAATTGCATTTTTCAATTACAGCCACCACCATTACCGATTTTACAGATTCCTCAGTTAAAGGTAAATTGAAGTGTGATAGAATTTGAATGGCTTTACAGTTTTATGTGAAAGATTATAGGACGAAAAGTATGAGATAGTGATTAACAAGTACATGGCTTGACGTTTAATATTTGGTGTTGGTTAGCTTAACAGATATTATTTGCATGAGGTTTTCGCTTTAATTAAATCTATAAAAACAAAAAGAAAAAAAACATGAACAAGTGCAGGACTAGGTAGCTTGGTTAGAGCAACATCACGGATCGCTGTGGATGTCGGTTCAAGTCCTGTCTATGTCGTAATTTTTGTTCAATCTAAAATCGATTATTAATAATAATAAAAACTCTTTATTGCACAAACATAGACATAGATACTTAGAATTATATATACAAACTAAAACACCTTTGTGCAAAGGCGGCCTTATCGCCTATGGCGATTTCTTCCAGGCTAGAAATAAGAAATAAAAATAAAAAGATAATTTTGGTAAACAATCAAATGTCAACATGAAAAATAAAATTATACAATACGATTTTAATTTGAGTCGACGTAGTTTAGACACCTTTTACACTTTACAGTATTAAAATGCAGCCTGTATATTTTACATAAACACAGGTATTCCATGTAATCAAATGTACTCAAACAGACTGTTACTCTTACTAACTTAAGAAGGGTGAAATATTTGTAATTAATGAAAATTTTATGTAAATGCAATTTTTAACACTGTACACGAATTGTACAAAGAAGATCATATCTTAAGTAATAAGTAAGTAGACGACACAGTACCTCAATTGGTTAGAACAACAGCACGGAATGCTGAGGATGCCGGTTCTAGTCCTGCCCGAGTTGAAAATATTCTCAGTTTATTTTCGATTTTAAATTTATCCATTGTTCCACCATATGCAATAACATGTGAAAAATATTAAAGTTGTAGTAATAAGCAAGTATTAGCAAAATCTAAATAAAAATTCATCTAATTTCAGACATTTATATCCATCCCACCAGTAAATATACCATTACCAAGAGTGCCATCAGTGGACCCAACTATAATTAGGAGTTACAAGCCGGGTCAGGATGAACAATTTACTGGCAGATCCATCGTGTCCTACAGACATTCGTCGAATATCAATGGGGATAAAACCAGTGGGGGGGTTGACACCATAATCAGCAATGACAACGGAGTAGTAAATAAGAAAACTTATAAATATGGAGATTTGAACGATAAAAATGAATATTAGCCAAAATATTTGTTCTATGACTTGATACTTGCCTATATATTCATATTTATAAGTAAAATTAAAATTAATAATTAAAATAAAACACTTTTAAAGGTTTAGAACTCGAAATAGATTAGTTAACTTATTTTCAATTACTGTGCGAGGTATCGGATGCTTTGCAGCAGCTGCTTAAAAATAAATTTCAATATAATCCGCGTTTAAAACCGTTAAAAGTATTTTATTTATTTAAAACAAAACATACGGTTTCGTGTTTTTGTTTGGTTTACTTTCATCTTTTTAATGTAAATATACCTAATATGAGTATACTACTTTTGTAATCTTTGATGTTTTTTATGTTTTGTAATAAAGGTTTAAAAATTAAGGTATTTTTTTTATTCTGTAATAATTAACGTGCCTCGTTAGTCCAGTCGTGCAATTCTAATGCAATTCACTAAGTACAGGGCTCGAATCCCTGGCTAAGATCTCGATTAAAATATGTAAATTTGACATTCATATTCAAATAGAATATCTTGGTACAAGTATTTTGAAACTGAAAAAGTTACACTAGAACGCTCCTACACAAGTAGGCTGTGGGGGGTTTGAGCTTTTAAGGGTATTGTGCCCATCTATGTATCGATAATGTGTTAAAACTATAACATAAATTGTGTTAGATTATGTTAATATTTAAAAAAAAGGTGTACAAACCGCCTGCAAGGTAATAATAGCAAAGTAGTTAAAGATAAATAATGCTAATAAAAATGATCGGATAAAGTGTAATACGTATAATGAAACAGTTCGGAAAGATCGCATATTATGTGCTTTACCCGTGTGAAATGTATCCCAGGAATTCGAAACTAGACTCTTTTAGAATCGGTTGACGTGTTAGTTTGATCTACTGGGCCACGGGAAACGGTCAACAAGGGCTTATTTGACACATAATTTTGCAAGCATTTCTCTCTTTAAAACAATACTTTTAACGCGAAATATAATTAGCTTATTTGTTATTTAATTTAATCACGACACGAAAATTTGTCACATTCAATTAACAATAAGATAATCAATATTTTGCGTTTCGAACCGTTAAAACTTTTTTATTTAAATGTGTACTTCTCGACTAAACTACTGACATCAAATAACTACCAGGAACTAAGAAATAAAGTATTAAAACGCCGAATGTTATATGTATTTCATAAGCATGGAGTTATTAGTAAAGTTAATGCTACAATAATATTCCAATAACGTTAAGGTTAGTGAAACAATGGACTGAATTTCATGAATTATAGCAAGCACTCTGTAATGATATAATTCAAGGTCGGTCGTACACAACAAATATGTATAAAAGAAGCTGACGCTTTTCTAAAAACCATACAGTAAAAATAAATTTCAAAGATAAAGTTTTATTTTATTTTTAATACAAAGATGAGAACCATTTTTGTGTTTCTTCTGTGTTTTTCACTTACGTATTGTGCCAGTAAGTTTGCATAACATAAGTAAAATATATAAATTTCCCAATTAGAGCAATTCTTTAATCCTTAAATAACTTTGAAACTGAAATTAAATTGTCCTATATGTAAGAAATAATAAGAATGTATGTTACAGTCATCAAAAGAGAGACAAAAGAAGATGGAGACAACACACAGGGAGAAAAGTAAAATTTATGCTTCACCTTATATGTTTTAAACAATTTTGAATTAAATAATATGCCATACTTTAATAAAATATATTTTAGCAGGGACGATTTAAATGGTGAAGCGGAAAACAGAGACAATAAAGATGATAGAAGTGCTGCAAATGAAGAAAAAAATGCCGAAGAACAAGAAGGTGATGAAGATAGCGATAAAGTCGGTTACGGTGGAGATAAAGATGATAATGAAGAGGATGGCATGGGAAACGAAGAGGATCGCAGCGTAAAACGTCCTGAAAGTGCAAATAACGTACAGGTGGGTACTGAGGAAAAAGATAAGCAGAAGGACTGTAGTAGAGGAAAACGTGTTGTTGATGTGAGTCTTGTTTTTTTAAGGAAATCTGATCATAATATTTACAAGCTTTTAAACAATTCTATTAATAAAACGCGTTTTTTTTTTATTTAGGTAATAAGGGTTTTCATTACGTATAAAATGTAGTCAAACGATAAATATTCTCTTATGCACCAGATGGAACATATCACATTGCTTTTTGAGTACATCACTTAGAACAATATCGTATATTAAATGTATTTATTGTATGTAAAAATCTATTTAAAATTGTAATTAATTTATGATTTTTTTTAAAGGGCGTCCCCAACTACGTCTTCATACCGGTGCCCATTGAGATTATAGACACAGAACTGGTTCCTGTGGAAACTTACGATGTTTATGGTTGATCTGTTATCTGTACATTTCTGTGAAAAATAAACTGAAGAATTTCAAAATTAAATACGATTTTATTCAATTAGCAACCCTCTATCAAAACGAAGTAAAATAAAAAAATCTTCTTCTTTCTCGATTTGACAATCAGGTTATTGCGGCCATCTTGCAAAGACAATTTTTATTTTTCAAGTAGTTCAGGGATCATAATTGAGAAAAAAATGTTCGTTCCTCAAGTAGTTATCTCCTGATGAATTTCATACACCTTATAGAAACGACTTAGTTTTTAAGATTTTTTTGAGATCTAGAAATAACAGAGAAAACCTAAACATAACAGTAAATTGTATATGAGATTACCTGGCACTTTCAGTGTAAAACCTTCTGTATCCAGGAGAGACGGTTAGTAAAATTATACCAGCAGTAGAATTTTTTTAAATAAAAAATATTGTTATCAGAATATGAGGACAATAATAAGACTGCTATTTTATAATAGGTTATAAATGACTAATGCTACAAGTTAAAAAATTTACAAAAGACTATTAATCTTAGCTTAAGTTTGACAGATATTTAATTAGAAGGGAGCTTTCAAAACGTTTAGATTTAATAGCTCGTTAGTTAAATAGCTTAAAGAAATCCATTTAAAAAAAAGCTTAACCTAGCTACGAAAGTTTTCTTCTTTATTTACTAATATTTGTTTTCATGTTATTTAATCTAGATATACCCTTAACTTAACGAATGGAAGTTTTTGTTTTACTTTCAACGCTAGAGTTTATCCATTTAAGGCGGGTAATTTTTTAACACCGTCAAATATACATCATTAACACCATTTAGCCCCTATTTCTAGAACTGTGACTTCAATCATGTCTCGCGGACTCGACCTTGTAATAAACATAAACGTATAAAATAAAAAAAATATATAATAAATAAACAAATAATTTAAAAATCGAAAATAAATTGAAAAAAAATTTAGACTCGGGCAGGACTTGAACCGGCATCGTCAGCGTTCCGTGCTGTTGCTGCTGCCCGAGTCGAAAATTTTTCAATTTATTTTCGATTTTTAAATTATATAGTGCCTTCATGTGCAATATATAACATGTAAAAAGTAATAAAGTTTTCAAACAAATAATAGTTTACTGAAGACAACGTGTAATAATTTTTATGATGATGGTAGCAATGTACAGCTAAAAGCCAACGGGTCACGGGTTTGATCTCCACTGGGTCCGAGATGCTTCTTATCAATTTATAGTTTTTCTTAAACATGTTGATATTCATCTGGAATGCTGGATATTAGATGGGTGATAGGAATATTTTTCGGTGTCAATCTGTGGATTTTTAAATATCCAAAACCGAAATAGGTTGATAGTGCATTTTGATTACATGTTATATGGCTGGGATATTTCATCTAGCATCGAGTGAACTCCATGCTTGCGTGTCCTCTTTTATCATAAAAATAGGATCTCATTCTTTATTAAAGACATATAGAGACTAAGCCTTATATAATACTATATAAAAATAGACGGAGTTATAAGGCTTTGCGAAGAACGCAAAAAGATCTTTATAATGTCGTTTTAATTTACATATTTACCTAAATCAACGCCATCGTACTGACAATTACTTGATGTGACGAATTACACGTATACATCCACCGTCGTTAACACGAAAAATGACAGCTCTCAATATTCAATAGAACCTAATGCTTGTTCCTCACAAATTATTGTAATTTCGTCGCAAAAACATTCAAAAGCCGACACGCGTAATTTTCTTTTGTTTGTTAAATATATTCACATATAAATGATGTAGTCAACATCGCCTGATAACATAGTAGATCTAAACGTCGAACTGGTCGAACGAGTGTTAGACGAAAATAAAAATGATAAAAGTAACTCTCGCGTGCTTTGCGATATGTGTGGTGTTTGCCGAAGGTAAGGTGTTCATTCCTAAAAATACACAAAATCTAGATAGAAAATATACTTAACGGTTAAACAAAATGTATTCGTTAAGTTATTTAATCAATTTTAAATACGGCCCGACGTTTCCGATGCTTTGCAGTAGCCCCGGTCCCGGAGGGGAAAAATAATGTTTTTCATACCTTTATATATATATTTATCGTCTGTTGTCCGAGTGGTGCTTTTAAATTTTAGGTAAATGGGAATTTTAGTTAATTTTAATTTAAAACAGCAGTCAAGAGCTGTGGCTGTTACGGAAGCAGCGTCACGGCTGCTCCAAAGCATCCGAAATGTTCGGTCGCAGTTAAAACAAAGTAACGCGTAATATTTAATTTATATCGCGTTTTAAACCGTCAGAAGTGTTTCATATAAATAAAATATATTTTTTAACGAGATATTTTTAGCACATATTTTTATAACTTAAATAGTTTTGACCCTCATATGTCATGGGCCATGGTCAACTGGCGCTTGGCCTCACAAAAGTGACAAAAATTATATTCATATATTATGCGGTGTTAGAAAAATTACTCGTTTTCAATGTTATATCTATTGTGCATTACTTCTAGCTTACTAAAAATTATCACGGTTCATAGTTTCGGTCCCCAACGCGTCCACCATTTTCGTAATAATTTTTTAACCTTTTTAAAACATGTTGAGTTTCGTCTGGAATTAAAAGGGGGGTAAAATATCAAAATTCCGTCCGGGTCACGAACCAGCGTCCACAGATGGAAAGACGAAAAGTTTACTCACGTTTCGGTGTCAGTCAGTGTATTTCCGAATATCCAAAGCCGAAATAGATCACCCGCACATTCTACTTAGAAGCTATTGGCCGGGGTATATCACCTACCATGAAGTAAACCTTACGCTTGTCTGTCCTCCTCTACCATTAAGATAAAAGATATAACCAAAATTATACATTCGACTTGACAATAATATATTGCAAATAATAATATATGCAATATTAAATTGCAAAATTTTGTTAGCTCAGTAGCTGGAACCAGCATTATAGAACGCCTTAAACGTGGGTTCGACTTCTTTCCGTGTATTTTTTTTACAATTTAACTATTAATGAAAGCTATCATTTGCAGTAACATGTAAAAAAATAAATTATAAAGTATTTTGTGGCAGCCATCTTGCTTTATAAACATGTGTTTAAAAATAGCTGTGAATATTATTTGTACTGAAATTTACAATTATTTTCTATAGTTCTGTCAAGTTAGGTCGTAGTCTCCTAAATGTTAGCATTAGACCTATAGGATGCAATAGAAATAAGTTTATTCACAAACAGCACCACATTTACAATATACTAATTAAATTAAAGACCTATTATGATAGAAAAAAATAAGACACGGCCGGGACTCAAACCGGCGTCTTCAGCGCTCCGTGCTGCTGCTCTAACCAATTATTGAGCTACCGTGTCGTACCGTAGAGTGCGAGAGAAGTGAGAAGCGTGTCCTTTTTTTCAATGTGTAGTTGCGTGAGAAAAGTATTATATTTAAATAAAACACTTTAACGGTTTAAAACGGGATATATTAGTTAAACTTATTTGAAAATTATTTTTAACTTCGGCCCGACGTTTCGGATGCTTTTCCGGAAGCCATGGCCACGGGAAGGTGACCACGGCTGCTGCAAAGCATCCGAAACGGGAGACTTTACTAATTTATCGCGTTTTAAACGTTAAAGTGTTTTATTTAAATGTGTACTACTCGCGTAAACTATAGACAGTATTTAAAAGTATTATAGTTTTCAAATACTTTTTTTTTAATTTTACAAACATAGTAGGTATAAGGAGAATATAATATTATGTAACTAAATCCGGTTAAAAGACAATAATACAGTTGCCTCTAAAAAACACTCCACTCAGCTACGTTGGGAATTATGTCCCAATACTGATATCCTGTGACACCATCAGAGCTGAGCCAACATATGCGAAATGGACTTTAAGATCTCGTTTAATACTCTAAATTAGGTCTAGCGTGTTCGATTGAGGGCAGATATTTTTCAAACTAATAGTAGTTGTATATAAAATCGATCGGTGAAAACAGACACTTAAGTGTGTCAGGATATACACCCGACGTAGAAGAAAGCGGGTTCAATATTTTCACAAAATATATAATTTTGCCAGGATGTTTTGACAATGATGAGCAATTCGCAGGCATTTTTTAATTCTTTTTTTTTTCGACAGCCAACACTCTGTCAACTCAAGATTTTCTAAGAGCCGCTTCGGTTGGAGATTTTAAAACATTACGGAAATTGTAAGCACATTTTTCATTACATATTTATTTATCTTGTTATACATACATATTACATTTTTGTTTTCTTTCCAGCATCAATCCTAGCTTCACATTCGATGATCTCACGGTAAGTAACTCGGAGCCTAAAATATTATTACGAAGACTTGTTAGGGGTGATGAAAATTTTACTCCATATCAAACTACGATGTCAGGTCATGAGACAGAAAAATTAATGTATCATAAGTCTTTTTACGATTCCGTAGCCAATTATAACCGAGAGTCTACTGTACCGTGATAGTTACGTATAATTACAACATTGAATTAATAATTTTGTTCTTAAATATTGTGTATGAAAACTTTAATAAATGTTGGTAAATTAATAAATAAATAAAGTAACTACAACAAATATGTACATAAAAAGTAGATACATTTTTTATTAAGTACTGTCTGCGCTTTACGTGAGAAGTACACATTTAAATGAAACACTTGTAACGATTTAAAACGCGAAACTATGGTCATACACTCCCCTGTGACCACGGCTGCTACTCAGTATCCGAAAAATCGGGCCGTAAATCAAAGAAATTGTATATAAGTTTAACTGAAACATTTTGTGTTTTAAAACGTTAAAAATGTTTTATTAAATATAATAAATAGTTTTAATTATTACCTTATTTTAGCCGATAAATTTGGGAAAAGACGTTTCTGAGTTGCAACCAATTCCCGGAGCACACGTTTTCGGTCAAGCTGAGTCGAGTTTCTCGTCATATTCCAACAACAACGGTCAAATTTCAACTGAAAGCGGTGGATATGGTGTTATAAACAAGGATGGACAAGTCTCGACCTATAGCTTCACTCCCAAAAACATCTTGGCGCCTATCGGAAACAATGAGCCAAATCAATGAGTTTCTCCTTTGAGAGTATTTATATGTAGGCGTTTAAAAGTATTTGAGATATGAGTAACCAATAAGTATCATATAAGTAAAAATGTTACTACGTAGATATATTTATTGCAGAGATTAATAACAAATAAACTTTTAATTTATAAGGCTAATTTTTATTTCCCAATCTTTTTTAATACACGTAATACCCTCTACTAATCTACTGTGCATTATCGAAAGGATATTTCTATGAAAACTCTAGATTCCTCAAACTTTTTTGTGTCGTGGACCCCTTGCTATGTTTTAGACGTCTTACTTACCTTATATTGATTTCCTTCAAACTTCTAATTGTAGTGAAGTTAGTAGTAAAAACTTAAAGCAAAAACACATGTAAATTTATATATTTTAAAGTTTTTTAAACCCATTCAAAATAAAAAATTTATAATATTATAAATAGGTATTTTTTAATAATGTATATGTTTTGATATTATAAGATATGATGTAAGTAAATAGGTACTATAAGTGTATGTGTTGAGATCCACTATCGTGCACTCCCATTTTTTATTTTTTCAACATTTTTTTTCGCTAGATCATAAATAAAAGAAGGAATGTTGTAATATTACTATTTATATACCTACGTACAAAAAAACTCATACATATGAACTCTATGTAAAGAATACTACATAATTTATTTCTGACAGCTATGTTTATTAGCTACAATATATTTTATAGCTATATTATTTAAAAAATAAATACTTTTCAACTACAGTTAAGTTACTATTATACTACTTTTAATAGTTAGCTATTGATAAATCTTAAAATTAATAAGTGCTTAAAAATAGACTCGATTCCGAATTTTCTAATCCAAAGACAAAATAGCTCGACAGCACATCCTATTCAGGATGTCAAGTGACTGCTTATTTCAATTTTAACTTCATCTACTAATCATGTTATTTAATATTTTTTTCTTTAACAAACTGAATAATTATAATTAAATTTATCCATGTTCATAACTTATATATAAGAGAATTTAAGCCCACGACCCGTTTACTATGATCGCTACCGTAAAATGAAAATGGGGCGTTTTTAGTACAACTATTAATTCTAAATAAAAAACAAAATTACTGATAGAGTTTTAAAGCAAAGTATATAAGCCCTTACCCGCTTGTCAAGTGATACGTGTGATTCTGAATTCAGAATGAATCCAGTTATTTAAGACATAACTTTTTAACGCGAATTGAACTCTCGGCCACACTAAGTACATCTAGTTCTTATACCAATATATCGAAAAGGACTTAACAGTGTAATTGTAATTCATTAACATAGGATATTAACGACACTTTCAAAATGCCTTATAAGTAGTAATGACTGCCTTATTGGACTTGGATATATTTTATTACCACTTAGTCATGCGAATGAATGTTACCATAAATTATTACTTCTTCAGATCGTTATAAGTCTTAATAATTACAACAGAATATAAAAATAGAAATATCAAACAATATTAAGAAGTGAATACCATTTTTTATTAATATTGCAATTAAAATGATATATTCTATTAGGCTTCTGAAAAGGAAGTTACTCAGCTACGTTGGGACTAAAGTTCCAACACTGATATTCTATGGCCCCTTCAGCTTTGATAATTAGTTATATTATTATCTATGTAGAAATATTTATCATACTCAGTAGTCAGACTTCTGAAACAAAATTCAAACATTGAGGAGATATTCAATGATGATATAAACATTAAAGTTAAGTGGAATTTTGGGAAATATTTTTTTCGGGCTTTTATACTCTATTAATGAGGCTTCTGTCTGAGGCTTTGGTTTTACTAATCTATTCGTCACGAGGTTATATTTTAAGAACCACGCCAGAATGTTAAAATTTTCACTTTTTATGTATTTCTATAGTCAACACAACAACAAAATCTATATATATAGCAATTCTCAATGCCTCAGATGCACATAAAAAGAAATAAAATATATACATAGTAAGTAAATTTAAATGTTCCCCTAATAAGTCTGACATGACCTGACGCAACGTCAAAATAAAAAAGATGGCGGAATTATATATCTTACTTCGCGATTAAATCTTAGTTGGTTGATTTAAAACATTATTTAATTGTAACATTATTGATTGTGGGTTGGTTGTCGAAATACCATAATTTGCTATTTTATAAGATTGTTATAAATTTGGTAGTAAAATAAATGGTATATATAGATATTTTTGACATCAAAAATTGTTTTGCAAACCGCCTCTCATCTTTATAGATTTAAGCTGTTGTCCACAACGTCTGTCTTGAACAGTTTTTGCAGCGTACGCAATAGAAACCCAAGATTTTGCCGTTCTCTCCACATTTCCTGCTGTTTCTTCGCTCATATTAATCGTAGCGTGATGTTTCGAACCGGTAGTTTCTGAGATAAGCGCGTTCAAACAAACAAACTCTTCAGCTTTATAAATTAGTATAGATAAATAAGGAAATAAATGTGAAACTTATGTATTTATTTATTATTGAAATAATATGCAATAAGTAATTAACGCAATTCTAATAATTTTATTACTAGAATTTCATATAACTTAGATCGTGGACCCAGCATTTCTTCTAATATAATAACAGTTTAGTTTATCTCAGTAGTTATATTTATGGAAACCTCGATTAACCACATCGTTACTTAAGTATCATCGTGATACATCTCATATCGTGGGTCACGATGCACTAATTACAGTCAATTAAATAGTGAGTCAAAACTTTGACTTTAGGAAAACCATATTTTTTGTGGACTAATGAGATCAATGGAAGAGCTAATTATTATTAAATTACTATTAATTACTAAACCACGTGGAAATGCGAACAATTCGGGTTCGATTCCCACCCGGTAGAAAATGATTCTAAAACTTACTTGTATTTTTACATGTTGGCATTATATAAAAATCTATTTCAAAAAAATTACAGTCTTGTTTTAGTTAATAAATAAATATTTGTAGGATTAGCATTTAAGTATTAAGCTTCTAATTGTTTAAAACATGTAACGCATTCATTAACTAATAAATTTCGCGTTTTGAACAGTTAAACGTGTTTTATTTAGTTTTAGTTAAGTTCTGAAACTTACACGTAGGTACACGAATATTCAGCAGTTGTGTGTTTGAATTACGAGTACGTTGTTTCCTCTAGCGTATTTTTTATAACGTAAAAGCAAAACGCAATATGATAAGAACGTCTTTGCAAAGGATCGAATGTAATAAACTTATCTTTCTTCCCGGCTGTAACCTTGATCTTAGTCTTATTCATTTGTAAATAATAATATCAATTGATACTATCGTGGCAATGCAAAGCAATCATGGTCAGTTTCTTAAGTCATACGGAGATGTGCAATAAAAAGACCTTTAAGTAATTTGTTTTATATCATATCTATTATGGAGGACAGATAGACAGAGAAGATTCACTGAAAATCGACCTATTTTGGCTTTGGATTTTCGGAAATCGACAGACTGAAAAGCGACTTAACTTGACGGTGGAAGCGAAGGGTACGGACGGAATTTCGATATTCCTACTACCCATTTGCTGCCATTCACACCAATCCAAGCATGTCAATAATTAGCATCATATTTTACTTATTCCCACTGCTGGGAATCGGCTTACAGAAGGCTAGAAAGCCTTCATTTACTTCTCAAATATATAGTTGTTAACAGATAGCAAACGTTGACTCAAAACGATTTCCTTCCCCAAAAGCATGGGCGAAACATATTTATTTTTTAACAGTTCAGGATTCGAACTTGCGACTTTACGCGGATATTAAGAGTTTTAGTAATAAAAATACCAATATGTGAAATAATAGTGACTAATATTTCACATTAGGTGTACCTAGTATGTTTTTTTAAATCGCAAAGCGAAAATATAACTAGTTTATCTAAGTACGAAAAACAAAACTGTACTTGATTGTTTTACGATTTTAGTTGTTCAGCAATTATTAGTTATAATATTTATTTAGGGTAGAGGTATAAGAAATCAATTGGTGTTAAACCAAGTACGAAATTATCTATAAGAACTTATAGATATTTCGTACTTCTGTAAGGATTTTTCCAAATAAATGAAACCACAACAAATTACACCACAAATCGAAAACCATTGATCCCGGACACAAATCATAAAAATCACCTTTAAATTGTATCGAGGACTAAGTTATATTTTAATTAGTGACATGGTGCAGCATTATAGCTCTTATCGTCAAGGGAATTAATCACATTTTATCGTGAAAACTATTGTTTGATAACCGTTCAAGAAGAACATTTAATACTGTGTGGACTCAACTAACAAACATTGTGTGGCGGTCAGTCGGCAAACAAGCTTGTGTCCAGGTTTTTAGGTTTGAGAAGTGAATTTGTGAAGATGAAAGGCATTACTATTTGTGCTATTTTACTGCAACTCAATTGGTGTTACGGTACGTATCCATTTAACAATTTTTATTTTCAGTACTTCGACTTGGGGGGGGCAATTCTCAAAGATATATAAAAACAAATCGATATAATGATAAAATCAACGGTCGTTATTTATTTAATGTCATTGTTTGAGAATTGCCCTCTAGACTTTTCAAGTATTTTTTATTCCCTGTTACTACGGATAATTAAATGTTTACATAAACTTATATTTAATTAGTTAAGAATACAGTGGCATTATTATTATATATTGTTTAATTCTTCTATTATTATTAGTTTTTTTCTATTTTCCTAACGTTGTATAACTATCGTATGTCGTTTATTTTTTGTTCGTTGTTATAAGATGTGGGTTCATATTTATTTATCTTAATTAAAAATCAAAGCCAGGAGTTGCTAAGTTGAGGTCAGTAACTGCAGAGGACTTTTGAATACAATGGAGGCTTCCCTTTTAGAAAACATCAATTATTGTTCGATAAAGAGAATATGGAAAATCCAATAAAATAATACGCTAAGTACACGTTGTTTGGCATCGTGAGTCAGAGCTAGTTATGGAACAAATTTAATTATGTTTTTATAGATTCATACAAAACAAATAGAGTTATACTCTTATTTGGTATGTTTGTTTATGCCTTCTTATATATTTAGCAAGTACCGACAATTTAATGCAAACAAAACTACGTATACAAATCTATATTTTTAATGTCTACATACTTATGACTGTTTTTGAAAAACATTATAATATTTAATAAAACTATAGCACAAATCAAAAAAAAATTGTTATTACTAAGTATGTGGACATATTTTTTTTTATATTGAAATAAAACACACAAACACCGTTAAAGTGTTTTGTTTAAATGTGTACTACTCGCGTAAACTACAGAGAATATTTTTTTATACTTGTCTGTTTTTGTGGCGCAAACTAAGAATATACACAAGTATATTTCAGCAGACAAAATATTTCTTTTTTTAGAGACTTATTATTTCTTCGCTAGTGGTAATGAAACTAAGGTCGTGTTCTATAAGCTGAAGAAGTTTGAATCAAAATCGTTCATTTAAAACAAATCCACAACATATATCTTAAACTAGCTGATCCGGCATACATTGTTTCGTGTTGATAAATAACAAACAATTGGTCAAATCAATCAATTTTGACCAAATTTTATTAAGTACCATAAAAACGGTTCTTGCGAATTTTTTTTAGATCATTTATTGTTTCACACATATTTTTTGGTTTATTGAACCGTTTACGCAGCGCGCACAACAGAAGTGTTTAAAGGTGAAGATTTTCGTTTTTTCCTCAATTTTCATGTTTAGCCACAGCTTAATGTTATATAGCCTTAAGCCTTCGATAAATGGTCTGTCCAACATCAGCTGACATTTGTCTATTCGAACCAGTAGTTTCTGAGATAAGCGCGTTCAAACAAATAAACACTACAGTTTTATACTATTAACCAATTAGTTCTATTAATTTCGAAGACAAAAATCTTCCAAATGGGTATTTCCATGTAAACTAATTAATGGTCGTTATGAAAAATCTATCAATTTACCCCTTATCTCTTTCACGGTCGTTATAATAAACTTAATGATTTTGTCCCCAAGTACCTATTAAATGTTCGTTAACTAATTGATAGTGAGGACAAATCATCGATTTGTTATTGCCTTATGTACTAACGTAATCACTTCATTGCTCAAAAATACTTAACTTATTCTTACATTCAATTAACTACATACAATATGTATCGTGTTTGTTCCTACCCTATATTTAATGTATGCACATATGTATATCTATAGGGCTTAAACTACTAAACAGTCCTTACTAATCAAAGTTTTAGAGAATTTTTAAAGGAACGTAACGTTAACGAAGACGGTATATTATTTTTTTATTCGTGTAATGCGTTTGATGTAGAACTGCCTCGAAAGACTGAACTCAAAGATCAGAAAAGTAAAAATTGGGATTCCCTCAGTGGGGCAAGGGGCGAACACGGTAAGTAGTCGATCAGATTTCGCTCCACTCGTGCGAAACAATATTTTGCTGGAACTTGAACCCAGGAGCTCTCGTGGTTAATGCTGGGCAACACGTTTAACCTTTCAGCTACAAAGATGGTAAAGAAGAGAAAGACCTGGAAATTCCCATGGTTTTTCCCATTTCCATTTCCATCGTTAAAACTAGACGAAACGTTGTCAATTATATTTTTTTCTATGCATTTTTAGTTCGTTAAGTCATCAAACAGTATTAGGCGTGAATCTACGGGCAGAAATCGATCGGTCACAGTGAGCTAGAATATTAAATATAATATAACACTAGCCATAACACATTAATCAAACCTTTGATAATGTGATATTATGTTTACGGTTCAAGTAATTGTTTCTCATTATGTAATTTTTTAAGATAAAAGACAATTAGATTTAAGTTTTATCAAAAAAAATGTTTTCTAAGTGCTTCTAACATTTTTATGTACAGGCAATAAATTGTTCAGATCCGTGCCTTGCCTAACCGAAACAATTGCTCTTTTTCCTGGATTTTGAGCAAGACCTCGTGCTTATCGTGTTAATATTTTTTATCGATTCATTCTTAAATGTGATCAATGTGTTAGTTTAGTTACAATTTGAATTATGTCGTATGTTTATCTCTTGAATTGAGAAAAAAATTAAATTACAACATTGTGCCATCGGTATTATAATGATAAATAATATATAAAGCTGAGGAGTTTACTTCTTTGTTTGTTTGTGAGAACGCGCTAATCTCAGGAACTATTGGTTCGAAAAAAACTCCTTTTGTGTTGGTTAGAGTATATATTAAGGAAGGTTCCCGGCTAAAAAAAATACCCCCGGGGCCAAAAGGGGCAAAAAAAGTCATTTTTGTGGGTTTGCATTGCACGCGGCAAAAACCGTTCAAGATACCCAAAAGTTTTTACGAAAAAATTTTTTTTTTTTAAAAAAAAACGGCACTAAATGTCTATATTTTAAGATTAACTTGCAAGAACGACGGGACGCGACCGACGTCGCGGATCGTGGTAGGTTAGGATGCCCCTATACGCATACGAAGTCGCTGACACAGCTAGTATGATAATGATAATGAATTTGTTTGATATTAATTTATGTTACTTTTGTTCTAAAACTTCTTTTCGATATAACTGTTAAAAGTAACGAAACACGCCCACAAAACTTTCTTAAATCTAACCAATTAAGAAACAGCATATATTTTCTTTGGTTTTGCCATAATCGAATATTTAATTGAGATAATAACTTTCCAAAACGGGTTAGACCAATGAAACATACAAAATAGGCATTTCATTATAGTTTTGTGACAGTTTACAAAAATATTTATTTACATTTATTTTTTTAACGGTCATTGGTCAAAGATAATTAAAACCAAACATTAATGAAACAACTAATGTTTTAAATCCCCCTGAACAAAGCTGCAAAGCAACCGAAATGTCGGGACTCAAAATAAGTCAATATAAATCGCGTTTTAAACCGTTAAAAGGCCGAATATCCTTCTACTCGTGTACTACATACATTATAAATTAAAAATCGAATTAAGATAGAACATTTTTTACGACCCAGGTGAGGTACCGTGTCACACAATACATTACCAACATATGCTTTGAAATTATAAGTATTATTTAAAGAATGATCTAATAACATAAGTTTTTATTCTTCGCTTATTATTTTACAATCAGGCACAAAAAATACATTGTTACATTTCAAATGAATACCGCTAGCTTTTCTTACTAATTTGGTGTTTTTAGTTATTACAATCTTAGGTCAAACACCTTGGATTGGAATTATTTGAGCTGTAATGAATTACTTTCTGAAAGGTTTGCTTTGTTAGGTACCTATGTAACGCGTTACGGCGTCTCTCTATCCCTTTTTCAATATAAAATAGTTCAACTAAGTTTTAGTTTAGTTATATCAGGTGCATTTAAACAATCGTATATAAACTTACTGATATTCAAATATAAAATTCAGAATTTGCATATTAGTCATGTCTATAATTGAAGAGAAACTCAATACTATTGACTCAGTGGGCAGACTTGAGCATTGTTTTGCAGTATACTAAGTGATTTTCTTTGTGACCAACGTGTTGCAAGGTTTGTTTATATTTTTGAAATAACTTAAAATAATTAAGCTTCCTGTTTTCTATTTTTGTTCGCATTATATCTCGTCTTATATCGTTTAAGTCAGTTCATAGTCAGTACGTTTAAGCATGTAATTTTCACCTGAGATTTTCCTGAATTGCGCGTAGATTATTATTATATTTTTTATCATGAAATACCTTTAACGGTTTAAAACGTGAAATATATTAATTAAAATCAAAGCATACTAAACGTCGGACATTGTATAAGTGAAATTATTTTTTTAGTTTTAAACTGTTAAAAGTGTCTATTTAAATTTGTCCTACTCACTTAAACTTCAGACAACACGAAAGATATTTCTTCAATGCAAATGTTATACATAAACACTGTACATATATGTTATAAGCACGTTTAAAATAAAGTAGCTAAATGATTTACTTCTTAGCTTTGTTTGTTAATGTTCTTAAAGCTCAGTCGGATTTTCCATCTATTAATGTGCAGTTTTTCAATACTTACGTGGAACGATCTGCTCGATAACCTATAAGGAAGGTCGACGATGACGTAACTTTTTGTTTACATTTTTTATTGTTATAGTGATGTTACAGTTCCACGAAGCTAATTCGCTTTAAAGAAATAGTTTCTGATTTGACTTTGACAGGATATGTAAGAGATGTTAGTGATTTTTTTAATTAGTAGTTAATAGTTTGGTTTTGTGTTGTATGGGTTAAATATCGTATTTATATCATTATATTAACTTATTTTACAATAACTTATTTAAGATATTTGAAAAGGGCATCTTTGGGTGAAGTCTATCTCAAGTTTAAAAAGATACTCGCGCGTAATCTTACTTCGAGTACTTGTTACAGGTTACATGAGAGCATATAGTAAATTTAAAAGCTTTTTTTGCAAAGAATTTGTCTTTATCATAACACTTAACACAGCCAGATAGGTAGTGTGATCATGTCTCGACTATTCATTTGTTTTTTATCCGTCGAATAATTAATTTTATGGGACATTAGGGACTCTCTATCTGCACGATATATGCATATAAAAACATCAAATATTTTGTTTTATTATATCTTGTTATATTAAATAATTTTGTCACCAGGTTTACCGAACCCCCGGGGCGTAGGCGCATACGCTTACCAAGACACGCTCGGCAATAGGTACGGTGGCACCTACGGGCTCGACGACAAAGACATCATCAGTAATAGCGACCCTTACACTGGCTACCCACCGATTGCGCAAGTGCCATACTTGACAAACTTCGCGGACGCCTTTTTTCCAAATTACATTTCCAACTACGATAACGTTCTGCAAGAGTAAGATCTTTTTCGAGGTCCGGTGGCGGTAAGGCATGGCCGGTGGTGGTTGTAAGGGTTACTTGTTTTAGATTTAGAATTAAGAACCTCTCCAAATTCCATCTCCTTTTTTGCTAATTTAAATTGTATTGTTAGGTATACAGTTCCATACGAAATCAAAATAGGTCAACAGCATACACTAGCTGAGCAAATTTAACTCTATCTAGTGAACGCCACGCTCATCTCTCTGAGAGACGTCTAAATACGCCTTAGTTGAGAACCAATAGAATTTTCCGCAATATTAATTCTAAACCTACCTAGAACCTCTTAGTATTATTCCCAATTATTAATTCTGTATATAATTTATAGTCATAGAGTTAGAAGATATATCCATATCCACGGTCCAGGGTTTCGACCATTCGGTTTTCGACCGTTCCGTCGATTCCCACGCTTTGGATTAAGAAGGTACAAGTATTGTGTGGTGTGTGATTTCTGGTGGCATTTTTTACTAATACTCACGGAGTTTTACTTGCACTCGTTTTTATGTGTTAACCGTGTGAGGAGTGTTTGACGTTGGGTCGTGTTTCCAGGGTGTTCGCCTCGAACTTAGAGGCGCAAAGATTGGCATCTTACGCTGCTCGAAAAGCGTACGATATCACTGCGAACCAGATACGTGAATTTCACAATTCCTACAGGTTCCCCACGTTCGGACCGCCGAATTTCTTTGGAGGCGGTGGTCTTGTGCCATTTGACGTCATGGCTCAACCCAACAGTGCTTTCGCTGGCGCGGCTATCGGCCCTGGTTACACTCACCAGGTTGCCGCTATTAACCCAGAAAATGACGTAAGTATTAATCGCAGGATTGCATATGAATCTGATAGCACAATCAATTGGTAGCATGTATTCTAGACTCGTAGGGGATCCACTCTGCGGGAGGAGGATCCATGAGGCGACCATATGCGCACCTCCAAGTTCATCCCTAATCTCGACTTTACTTGGTCTAAAGTGGGTCTGTTGTGTTGGGAGCTTTGGAGTCATACAAACGTGATGGGCTACCTGGGCTCCTTTGAAACCACCGTAGCGGGCTGGTGGTTTAGTGGTTCTGGTCGGCTATCGTCTCCGAGGAGGTTGTAGTACGATTCACACACTCCCTGTTACTGTAGCCCGACGTTGGCGTACATTAGGCATTGACACCATCAATTAAAAAGGGGGGTTTTAATCCAGCTAATGTTACTGATTTTTTAATCTATAATACTGTTTTAAATAATCTTCAGAACAGTTTTAGAGCCGTAGTTTTCCCTTACCTTAAAAAAAATAAGTTCAAAAACAATAAGGAGTAATTCCGTCTGTACTTAGATCTTTGAATTTAGACCTGATAGATACAAACTTATTAAATTTATTTAAAATTTAATAAGTACCAACTGAACTAACAATTTATTTTTAGACATTACATCAATTCTAGGCTGCAACTATTTGAATGACTTAATATATGATAATATGTAGTCACTAGTTTAGTCATTTAAGTTAAAATTCAAAGAGTAACAGAGCTGGATTCTATCAGCATTTTTAATACTTTTGAATAGACTGAGCAAAGTAGGTTGATTTATTTATTGTCGTAATCCTTGTCGCCATAAATCGTCTTGAGCAATAAATGTGAATCAGTTATTCCTTTTATATTTATTGCTTTGTTTCAAACGTTATTATTATATCTCGTTGTATTACTATTTTTTACAGTTGATGAAGAACGTTGATATTAGCAACCGTTTCAATGACGAACCTGGTAACAATAAGTTCTATAGTGTGTCCAGCTCATCCTACTCCTCTTCATCAAACCTTAATGGTCAACCCAAGAACTCGAGGGGTGCTGAAACCGTTGTCAACAATAACGGGAAGATCACTAAGTACAGAGTACAGAGTTAAGCCACGAACATGATCAGTATCTGTCAAGTTATGTTTAATAAAATCTGTTTGTAAGATTTGTCTTTTATTTAGAATTTTATTAGGGTTACGGATAATACAGGAAATAGTTGTCTTAAAAAACTAATTATTGTTTATAGAATACGAACGATATCGGTTCCGTTCAGTCAGACAGTATCCTTATTTAAATAAAACTTTTAACGGTTTAAAACGCGAAAGATATCTGACATTTCGGATGTTTTGCAGTATACGTGGTCACGACTTGTTTAAATGTTAGGTACTATTTGCACATACTACAGACAGGATTTCTTTTCTTTTCTTTTCTACAGACAGGATTTTCGTTTCTTTTACAATGTACAGAGTTTAAACGAACTACATTTGGGCTAGTTGTATGCAACTAATAAAACAATTTTATGAGGTTAAACTCGATATACGCTGCCGAAAGCTTTTTTTAAATAAAACCATAAAACGGTTTAAAACGCGAAATATATTACTTGAAGTTATTTAACTATGCTCGAGATCACGGATGTTGCAAAGCATCCGAAACGACCAGTCCGTAATTAAAATAATTTTTAAATAAGTGTAATATATTTCGCGTTTTAAACCGTTAAAGTGTTTTACTTAAATGTCTACCACTCGCGTAAACTACAGACAGTATTTAAGTGAACACTTTTTCAGCAGCGTTGGTCACGAAGAATATTTAGGTACGATGATACAAAAATTAGATCAGAAAATATCTCGCGTTGAGATTAAAAGAGATACTTCGGTGAACCAAATAAATACCAAAGAACAAGTCGTATACTCGTAACAAACAAACGTGATTATCTAAGATCCCATCGCAGCTTACGTTCGCTTCAAGGCTAACAGATAGCATCATCTTTTTGCTACAAGTCATGGGATGAACAATATAATGGCTTAGTTCAATTTCGCTAATTTGCCATCAATCTTAATGCGTTGCGTTGTGCTCTGGAACCACGACCTTTTTTGTCCACAACTAACCGGTCCATCGCTGAGTTCTCTACATTTGCGACAATAGAATTCCCGGGTTCCATCGTTGACTCGTCTGTTTATGTCTGAACTCGACAGGGATCTGAACCCATCTTGACCCCAGTAGTGAACATTGTTGTAGAACCCCGATGGTTTCCAAGAACCAAAGGCTGTGTTAGGATAGAAATCATTGCTATCCGCGATTTGGAAGATTGGTCGCTGTGTTGTCCGATGTTTGTATCTTGTATCCGGACTCCTAATAACAGTGGTATCGATGGATTTATAAGCTTTTACGATGGGCACTTCTCCACTGTCAGTCTTTGCATTTTTGTTTGGTCGAGATAGGACTAACGCGTCTGAGTCACCTACAATTAAATTTTCATTATATAAATATGTAAACAATAAATCGGTATTGAATCTATACCCAGAAAACTAATTGGTTAGTTTTTTATCATATGATTTATAATATATTCAAAACATTGTTAAAAAAACACTTTTAACTGTTCAAAACGCGAAATATGTTAAACTAATTTATTTAACTACGAGCTGGCGTTTCGGATGTTTTGGCAGTGCTAAAATAAGTGTTTTATTTACACCTACAACTGCAGACAGTATTTAATATTGTCTATGGTCTAAGTGTTAAATAAAATTAATATTTTTTCACCTGTTGCATGGAGACCTCTGTTATTATTTCTTAGCTTCGTTGAAAATACAATAGTGTGTTTAACTTCTAGATCCTCATCTTCTTTGCTGGACGCTCCTTGAGGCTTTTCTTCTTCAACGAAGTCAATTTTTGTAGATACGCTATTGCACATAACCATCAAAGTGGCTGAAATTATGATTAAATATTTCAGAAAATAAAAATATAGTAAAGATACAATTACTTAAAGATTCTAAGAATTTTGTTTAAATTTTAAAATTATTAAACCATGTTTATATAAAATAATTAGCCTTTCATTCGAAGGAGCTTAACATGCTAACAACTAAAATTATTAGGAATTGGCTTTAAGATAAAAAAATAAAAAAAAAGTATTGTCTGTGGTTTATGCGAGTTGTACACAGTTAAATAAAACGTCAGTTGCAAAGCTTCTGAAACGACGGGTCGTAGTTAAAATAAGTAAACTAATGTTCCGTGTTTAAAACCGTTCAAAGTGTGCATATTCACCATATCTTACCTAAAACAGCAAACGTGAGGATTTGCGTCATATTTGTCACTGGCCTGAGATGCCATAAAGCTCGCTTCGCGTGTCGTATCCATTTTATATAAACAATACAAATTACACAAAATGAGGACAGGAAGTCCTACAATTACTACACATACAAGAAAATATATTAAGGTAAGCATTTACTTTTATAATTATTGGGTTTTTGCAAAAGTAATTTCCATTGGTTAGTGACATCAACGCCAGGTTCGTTCAAACAGCAAAGTAATTAAATGAAAAGAAGTTTTTATTGTCCCATGTTATATCTTCCTTTGTTTTTCTTTTGTGAACATACAAAATGCTCATGGCAAGTTTCTCTTTGTTCTGGTTAAGTATTTTAGAATCAAGAAATTGATTGATTATTTATTTGATATATTATTAAGAATAAATATAATATAATGTGAAAAGTACTTAAACGTAGTTATTTCAATACACCACCTAATAAAGTTCGCTTTAAGTATTGTGCTATTATTAGTAAGTAGGTTTTTTTAGTTTTCACTTACAATATTGTTTTTCTCCAAGATTAATATTTTTCTTGACAACACTGCCATCTATCAAAAGAATATCGAACTATGAAAAGTAAGAATAAATGACAGTATACAAATTCTAATATTAGCCGCTAGATGGCAGGCAGCAAAATATTGTTTTCTTTTCCTTGTACTTCAGGTTGCCAGTAAAAGATCGTTGCTAGCGATAAGGCCGGCTTTTATTTATAAGTTAGTACGAAGATTTCTTTATATGTGTTAATTAAAGTAATAAAGCTGAAATAAATAAATTAATATTAACATTACCAGAATATTAATTTAATAATTAAATGTGGATTTAATATTATTTTGCTGTAATCACAGTATACGTATGTTTTATAAATATTCAATAACGAAAAATAAAACAAAAAAGAGTTGCGCCCAACGTGGGGCTCGAACCCACGACCCTGAGATTAAGAGTCTCATGCTCTACCGACTGAGCTAGCCGGGCTATTGTCAATTAAGTTGAAATTACGAATAATATACAACAAAACGAATCAACTCTTCCATAAGACACAATTTTAATCTTTAATAGTATTAATTCGCCTTATGGAAGTTACTGCATTATAAATTATGATAGAAATTGTCTCGAAACAAATATGCATACGGCTATTTCTTAGCAGTGAAACTGTAAAGTACTGTAAAATGTAAAGGAACTGGCAAGACTAAAAGGCAAACCTTTGACAACTGAACTCAGCTGGAGTTTGTTGACATGTGCATATTGCGAAGGCACTTCTGAGTGTGCATGAACTCGTATCAAAGACTCAAAGCGATCCTCTCAGAGTCAAACGGCGCATTCTTAGCAAATACGACCTTTTGACTGTAACTTATTTGATTTGTACTTGAAGTTGTTAACTTTGGCATCATATGTTTTATTATAAGACGTATTGTGCTTGCCTTAGTTCGATTCCCGAGCTAATATGGATATTTTTTCTATTGAACAAATATCCATATTTACAAATAACCAGTAATAACACTTTTCACCAGCTTTTTACTGGTTCAATTAACGGGGCAAACAAATTTATTTGTTAAAATAAAACACTTTAACGGTTTAAAACTCGATATAGTCGTTAGTTAGAAACGTCGGGCCGAAGTTAAAATCATTTTCAATTAAGTTTAACTAATATATCGTGTTTTAAACCGTTAAAGTGTTTTATTTAAACAAATAAATTTTGTTTGCCCCATTAATTGAATCAGTAATAACTTCGTGAAAAGTGAAACGATATTTTTATATAGACGTAGTAAGTACACGTAACTTTCAAATTACAAAGATAGCTATGTGCTGCTACGAGCGATTTTTTCACAGAAATGTACAATCAACAACAACAGTGGTTATCTCGTAAAATAAAAGTGACAATATTGTACAGCGAATATTTTAGATAGTATGTTTAGCTTTTATTTAATGAAAATTTTACTTCATAATATGCTTTTAGTGGAATAATAATTTAAAGGTTTTTAATTTTAAGTGTATAATCAAATCGACATGGGATATAAGCGTAAAATAACAATATTACACTTGCATCGTATCAAATCAAGTACGCACAAGTAAGTTTTATCTATCTATCAATTTATACTGCAATCTATAAAATAATCACTTACTTATAAAAATAAAACCTAAAATTACTATATTACACTAGTGACTGTATTCTTCTTCTTTTTTAATTTCGTTTCCATACAATATAAATGTTTTCTACATAGTAAGACACATACATAAGATTATAATCCTAATTAAAACTAATACTATTCAGAACAAAAATAACAAACAAATTACTTGCCCCATTTATTAAAGACTCATCACTACTGTGTTAAAGAGGTATATAATTTTTATTATACAATAGGTACACTTTCTTACACGACTGTACGGGTGATAGTAAATGCAAATGGCACACGGCGCAATCAGCGAAGTGCGCCCTGCTGGAACTAGCGGCGGACGAGCAACTGCATGCACGGCACAGAATAAAAAGAATAATTGTTCTGTCGTACTTATCGTGATGACGTCAAATCATTGCAATTCCCATATTATAAAAATCGGGGCTATGTTACGACCCTGTTGGGCTCCTGGTCTCTAACTAGTAAATACGTAACATGTTTATACTAATATTATAAAGCTGAAGAGTTTTTTTGTACACTTTAATCTCAGAAACTACTGGTTGGAATTGAAAAAATATCCTTGTGTTTGTGTGCGTGTGAAAATAAATCGCTGCGACCAATAGGAGTGAAAAAACAATACGAAATGTGGAAAAAACGGTAAAATTATTAATCTTTAAGGGTTGCCTTTGGGTACGCTGCGAAATCGGTTCAAGATTTCCAAAAAATATGTAAGAAATTCCTCTTAATATGATCTAAAAAATATCCGCGATAGTTTATGTCCATTTTTCATGATTAATGATGATTTAAATGATGAGGAGGTAAAAAAGATACAAAATGATTGTAAAGTCATAACAAAGGAGCTCTCGTACCAAATTGAAGCCGAGTAAGAAATAAACAAACAAAAGAAATCAATAAAAATAAAAGACGAGCGCACCGCGTCTGCGCCAGCGCCTTGGCGTCCATTCGATAATCGTGATTGTGTTTAGATAAAATATAATAATAACAAAATAAACAAGGCACGTAATCACCTCACGTCAGATGTGTAATGAATGGGGTGGCAATGTATTTTTGGGGGTAAATGGGGCAACTATTTTTTTATATTTTATTTTAAGTATAATAAGAGTAATACATAAAAATCATTGAGGATTTCTGAATAGCCAAAAAAATCGACAACACATCTTGCTTAGATGTTCCTATGGCTGGGCAACCTTCCATCAAGTGACCCCCTTATTTGGCTGTCCTCCTGTATCATAAAAAATGCGAAAAGATTGTCTTACAATATAAGAACTCGTGGTTCTCTTCAGAGTTTTCAATACAAAGTAAAAAAATGTCTATCATCCTAAAAACTAACCGTAGTTTATGCGAGTAGTACAGCCTTAAATAAATCATTTTAACTGTTTAAAACGCCTTATACATAACGACCAGACATGCCAGACACTGTATTAGGCGTGGGTTACCTTACGTTAGTGAGCTAACTTACATTTTCGAGCTTTGTTGACAAAAGTTTCAAAAAGTCAAAAGGGGTAGTACAGTTTAAGATTATAAAGTATTCTTTGACACCTCGTTATTAAAATTCCTTCAAGCGTCTAACATTATGGTCACACTACTTTAAAAGCTCGCTCCCACTTGATCCAACTTACAAGAATATGATGGTTGACAGATGCCAAAACACTTATTCAATCAAAGTTTTTTATGAAGCTTTAATTTATATACGGTTTAATTGCAGTTTACACACAACATACTTGATATTAAAGTTTAAAAAAATAACAAAGATACCCTTGTTTGATTAATACATAATTATACATACATATGTATTTATAAATATATACAATAACGATAGCTGACCCGACAAACTTATTTTTACCATATTAATTATTTCTAGGAAATGTGTAGTGTGTAAGGATCTGGTAAGACAGGATTCGGTCTCATCGAAAATCGATAAGTGACACCGGTAGTCGCCCGGGGGGACCACTTAACAAGTGATAATTGATCTGTTATCAAGCGAAAGGAAAAATGAATAAATTACTAAAACAATTATTAAAAAATACTGGTTGGTGATAGAAAGATGGTTTTTATTAAAAAAATACCCAAAAAATAAATGTTAAGGCTAAATGGATAATCTTTATCATTTAAGGCCTACTGAATATGTATGTAAAGTTTTATAAAAATCAGTCTAGCCGTTTCGGAGGAGTCCAAACTCGTAATGTGTGACTAACAGTGTGTACAAGAATTGTATGGATTAATTGTATACCCACGACATCGGTCGCTTTCCGTAGTTATTCCGAATTAATCTTAAAGAGACACGTCATATAGTGCCGCGGACATCTTTTTTAGATCATAGCGCACGCAACGGAAGCCGTCAAAGATGTATAATTTTCACTTTTTTCCCCAGATTTCCCTCTGCTTCCTCAGTCCTATTTACTTAATCCTGATGTTCTAAAACCTTTCTCGATAAATGGTCAATTACCACATTTTTTTTTAAATTTAGTTTTTATGTAGCGCGTTCAATCAAACAAACAAACTCTTTATCTTTATAATATTAGTGTAGATTCTTCAATCAAATAGAAATTCATGGTGTAAGAAGTCATCTAAGCAGCTTTTATTTAAGTACTTCAGATTTTTTCTTCTAAGATATGCTTACTAGTTACGTCATTGAAAGTATATTAACTAAGTAAACTGGATACTTTGTAAAACCACACCTGCACTTAGTAATTAATTAGCTTATCTTAAGAGACACCCACTCAGGAAACACCATCTGTGATCTGCGACAGAATGCACTCGGTTTTACCTTCCTTCTGACAAAACTACCTTATTCGAAGCCTTATTCTTTATTAAGGTGGTAATCATTTAGCTTCCAACACGATACACTAAGTCTGTAGTTTGCGCGAGT